AAGAGAAAATATATTTCATTAGAATCAGGTCAAGGCTAAGTTTCTGACTTTAAGATGTAGGTAATTTACACTTCAAAATTCAAACTTGTCAGTGTTAATATGAGTCAGAAAAAATGCTAAAGGCTGACTTGTAGAACAGTGTTAGACTCTAAGCAAACTTCAATGAAACCTTATTATTTATATTGGTCAGTAGAGTGAGACTCAGCTAAATAAATGTTCATCGTATCCTGGCAGCAGAAAAGGTTATGTTTGGTTGCGCCCATTTTGAGAGAGATAAAACCACAGCTATTTCTCACTCACATCTCCTTCAGCACAGCTGGCATTCTTTTCATTAGTTTAAAAAAAAAAAAATAGGACTCTGCCTACAAGCAGTTAGGCATCTATGGATAAAGACTTGGGTAGAACAATAACTCCCAAGCATGAATGTGCATAAGAATCTCCCAGAGAACTTGTTAAAATGCAGATTCTGAATCAGTATATCTGGGGTAGTTCTGAGGTTGTTCTAACAAGCTCCCAGAGGGTGCTTACGCTGCTTGTCCTTGTCCCTACCTGTGTTACCCACTACTGTTGTGATTGGCAGTGGGCTACATGCTGGAAATAGTGAACAGGATAAGAATTGTTAATAGGGGGGATGCATCAATGCTTATGAAATTGGGCATCTTACATGAGCTTCCTATATTCCGCTCTGGAGTCTGACTCCTGACTCCTGGCTAAAAAAGGGGGCTTTTTTTGAAGTGCTCCTGGACCTGAGTTATCTGTTCTGACATCAACCTCTGTTTTTCCAGAACCCTTGGAAATCCTGCTCTTGCTTTTAGGCATTCCACTGTGCTTTGATTGCTTGGAGTGCTTATAAAACTTATTCATACATCCCAGTCTTCACAGAAGGAGGAACAAATAGACATTTTCCCTCATCTACCAACATCCTCTTCCTTTTCTCACTTTCTGTCTCTTCCTCCCTGGGTTGTGAATCATTTATGGTCTTCCCAACCTCTGGACTATCTTCCTCTAGCCTCAGCATCGTGTTTTTTTTCTGTGTTGTGACAGATATACAATAGTGTTGCTTGAGCTCTGCTCATTAAAACTGAGGTCCATGGATTTGAATAGTTGTTACCTGGGATCTTATTTGAAATGCAGAATCTCAAGTCCTGCCCAAACATAATAAATCAGAATCTACATTTTAACTGTATCTTCAGATAATTCATATGCATGGCATAGTTTTGAGATGCTTAGAAAATTTTGAGGAGTGGAGAGTTATCCTGTACCCTAGAAATTCTATCCCATCTATAAGCTTTCATATTTACTTTTGAAAATGTTAATTCATAATTTTTTCAAAGTTAGCAGTATGATTAGTACTCAAATACTTAGTGTTCCATAGACTTTTAACATAAAGACAACAGCCCATAAACTTTTCACTCATCTACTTCCAGTAGTTCAGAGAGTATTCTGTTATAAAAACTGAAGCTCCTGATTTGTCTGCTTGTTCAAATGGAGAGCATCCCTGTTCCACACAAATATGTCAGCGAAGCTGCCTATGAATATTTTCTCCTTAAAAAGATTTTGAATTTGCTCAAACACTGGGAACAGTGTTTGGCTAAGTTCTCAGAATTCTTAGCACATAAAGCATAATGTGCCAATACCAAATTGAAACATCTTAGAGCAGGTGTTACCTCTAGTGACCTTGATCACAGAAAAGGACTCTCTAAACACCTGACTTGGGGTAAGACTGCTTGCTGATGGTTCTGCCCACATAGGTTTACACAAAAAGCATCTATACCTTGCCAAGCAGCTGAACAGATTTACCTCTTGGATGGAGTAACTTAGTTTTGTCCACTTAAACAATGGGGAGTCTTCAAGCACAGCAATATTAGATTTAGAAGTTATAAACTATTTTTTCTTTTGCAGTAATTATCCAAAATGTCAGCTACTTCTTAATATAGTCTTATTTTCTAACAATAAAATCACATAGTTGAATTGTAGCTATATACCTTGACTGTGTATGTGAATTCCCAGGGAACTTTAAAATATACCAACTCCTTGGTTTTCCAAGAGATATTGACTTAATTTGCCTCACATTGAGACCTTGACTTCAGTCTGTATAAAAACATTCATGATTTTCATATGCAGTCAGGTTTGAAAGCCACTGATATAGGAATCTGGTTTACCAGTGCCTAAGCATCTTATAAACTTAACAACTGTGTCATATAGTTAGAAAAATAAGAGTGATCCATTCACTAACTCTTGAAAGAACCATTTAAAATCCATAAACCTCAGTTTCCTCTTCTCTAAAATAGGAATAATAATTACATTAGAAGCTAGTTGTGGAGTTTAAATAAAAGATATAAAGTGATTAAAATAGGGCCTTGTCTGTGGTAAACAACCAACAAAATCAGAGTTGTTGAAAAAAACTGTGGACAAGACCCTCTTTTGTGCATTCAGGAATGGAGCACCATCTCCTCTGAGTCTCATGGTGGTGTCACAGTGCAGTTTTTGATAGAGGCTTTCCAATTGGACCCACAGAAGATAGCTAGAGCAAGATAATGAATGTTTGGAAGAAGCTTCTCATTGTTAACTGTCTGAAAGTGAAACATAATGGAGCAGAACCCACTTCCTCCTCAGGGAAAGATAAACCTAACCCAGAAATCTGTTGAGAAGAAAACTGTGATAAAGGAATCTGAGGAGAAGTAATTGGTCTCAAATTTGAATATTATGTTTCCCCCTTTTAAAAGAGAAAGGTATTCATGCTATAAGCCCACTAAAGCCCATAAAACAAGTTGAAGTAAATATGTGGTTAGGAAAACCATTTAAGGAAACAAAAAAGCCAGCAATCTCTTGGATTGGTTTCTTTTTGATTTTCCTATAATATAAACTTTGGCCTAATTCTAAACTTCCCTCCACTCTGTTGCCAGAGTGGTCATTAGGAAAAAGAAACCTAGTTATGTTACTCCACTAATCAAGAAGTCTTCATTGATTTCAAATTAGTATCCTTAATTTGGCATTAAAGACTATCACCAATCTAGCCTGACTACTTTCAGATTCTAATTTTTCCAAAATGCTCTGTGGTGCCATCACCTTGACCTTTCTAATAATTTTCACTTCTTATCTGCCTTTCAAAACCTTACTGACTTTTTATAACCCAAGTCAAATGCTATCTCCTTCATTGGCATCTCCTTTACCTTATCTGATCCCAATCTCATCATAATTTTACATCTTCTTCAACCTGTGTTTCCTATAACTACATAGAGTTGACTGCATCAATTATATTTTTTCTTGTGTTAATAAATATTTGAGAAGAAACAGTGACTGGTGTCTAAAAGAAATAAATATTAACTTTTGAGCCAGACTTCAATTAAAACTATGATTCTTAGGCAAGTCACTTAATTTTTTTGAATTTAAGCTTTTTTATCTGTAAACTGAAGAAGATGTTAACCAAATTTGTGTGGATTGGTAGGGGAGAGTATGTGAGAATCTGCAGTAAATGTCCCCAAGAAAGGGTAGCTATTTTTACAATAATGATTCAGATTATCTACCCAAACAGTTCATCAACTGTATCTTGCAGCATCCTTATCTTCTATGTGTTTCCGAGATGAAAGGAAGCAACTGAAATTGATGATGTCTACTGCCTGGATCTCACTGACCTATTGGTTTTTCAACATCTGTTTTAAATTTCTAAAAGAAATGTCCACTTTAAGGCAAGAACAGAATTTTTCCAGTGGTATTTCAATGTGTCCCAATCTTGAAATTTTTATAACTTATATTTGATTGAACCCAAATCAGCAAAATCATAGACAACAGTGCTACCTATCAGCATATCCACTTTACACAAGCCTAAGAGAGCATAACCCCTTCTACAAAGAGCCAAGAACATCAAGAAACAATGTGTCAGATTTTAATGACATCACTCTTTGCTCAGGTGTTTAAGCAGGGGCAATAATGGAAGTTAGAATGTCTTAATTATCTACAGTATTACAAGACAGGGAGAGCACATGAATCCTGGTTTTTGTTGATGTATAAAGTGCTAATAACTACTCTTGTTACACACAGGATGTGTTTCTAATGACAACTATTTACTCAGTGTTTTGACTACTGATCAATCCTCTTATAAAATTCAGTCATTTCTGAATTATTCCTGGGGAAAGCAGGGTTTTTAAACCACAATGGTTCATAACCTGTCTCTGTTTCAGCACCAAGGACAGGGCCCCCACAGGGTTTAATATCTGTCCAGTCTATTTAATTAAGTAAAATGTCTTAAATTTTCTATTCAGATGTTTATCCAGTCAGCTAATGTAATACTTTTCTGAATACTTCTTATGAGTCAGACTTGGGTATGCTATACAAAGACTTACTAACCAATTACAATCCTCATACTAGAACTGAGGCAGGAGATGAGTAAGATAGGAAAGGTAATAAGTAATTATAACATTATGTGACAAGTGGTTTTACAGAATTATGTAAAAGTCATGTGGTGTCCAGGAAAGGATGTGGCTAGCTTTAACTGGTAAAGGAAGACTTTACAAAGGAGTTGATGTTTGAAATGTGTCCTGAGCTTTAAGTGAAGTTGACAATGCAGAGAAGAAACTCCATGAAAGAGTACACTGCATTTATAAATTCTGGAAATGCAGTTTTATGTGGATGAAAAGTGGGAAGAATGGAAGGTTATGTAGGAGTTAAGGAAGAGGCCAAGTCAGATCACCAAGTATTTGTGTACAGAGCTAAGGGAATTATGTTTGATTCTGGGAAAATTAAGAACTGTTGAAGGGTTTTGAGCAGAGATATGATCAGATAAGATTTTTGTTTTCTAAAGATAGTTCAGTTAGCAAATGGGAATGTACTAAAAAAGTAAAATGAGAGGAATGAATGGCAGACAATGGTGACTTTTCTCCATATGGTCCTGGGAATGGGGCAGTGTTCCATAATCACCAATGTAAGACAACGAGAATTTACATGGCCCCACTTCCATTAGCTCTTCCTGAATGTTTCACATGTGGATTGTGTCTCTCCAGATTCTTCCAAGAAGGTAAAGGATGTCTTCGCTGAATTTAAAAAGGGTAGGAGCCCCAAACAGTATGATCCACAAGAGGTAAGAACATTTCCATTTCTGGCCTTTTTAAAAGCCCATGTATTATCCTTTCCATAAACTATTTCTCTCTTGGAAGTTTAGCTCACCTTGAAAATTTTTGCTTTTCTCTTAGTTCTCAAGGGAGCTACTGGGTGCTACCTGGAATTATGTTTCCCATATCCATTTACTCATTCACTGTCCTACACCTGCTCCTCTGACCTCAAATCTTTTCCTCTTCCCCTCCTCACACACAGTTAACTGTTCTCACATGCCCAATTAGATATACATTTTTTCCTGTAACAGGTGATGATCTCTCCATGCTCTTCTGTAAGTCCTTTGCCTATGTTTGTGCATTCAATGTCATCTTCTTTGATCTCTTGACAGGTATTGCTTCAGCAACACATTTCTGTCATTATCTACTATCTATCTAGCCATCTTATCATCTGTCTATCTCAATCTTCTTCACACCATTTTCCATGTATATGTTAGATATTTTTTTTACCAATATATAAGCATACTTTCATTTTTCCTATATTTTGTTTTCACTTCTCCACAAGCTACCACATCATTTTTCTTCTGCCCTTCATAGCAAATCTGTGCAAAAGATTTGCCTATACTCATTGCCTTCAATTTCTCTTCTTACAATCCTTGTAACTCTTACTCTTTTAAATCAAATTTGTCAAGATATCCAAGAATGTCTGTATGACTAAATTGAATAACCATTTAACTCAACAGCATTGGACTTGTTTGACCAAATCCTCTTTCACTTTCTTCACTTGGCTTACAGGACAGAAACACTCATAAATCTCTTTGCTTCACATTTTTGCTTAAGAAATATCTCAAACCTAGCATGCGCTAACTGTGCTTCTTAATCTTCTGCTTTAAAACCTGTTTTTACAGCAGTTTCTCCATTTTAGTAAATGATAGGTCCATTCTTCCAGTTATTCAGCTTAAAACTATGGAATCATCATTGACCCCTCTTTCATCTCATATCCAATTCATCAGCAAAAACTGTCAGTTCTACCTTCAAACTATTGATTCAGAATTTAACTATCTCATACCACCTACATTGCTACTATCCTAACCAAAAGTACCATCACTTCTCCCCACCCCCAGATTATAGCAATAATCTGCTAACTGGGCTCCCTGTTTCTGATCTTGACATTTGAAGTCTAGTCTTCACACATTTCTTGAGAAAATCTGTTAAAACTTAAATGAGATCACATCACTGCTCTGCTTGTCAGTCTCTCAGGGTTTCCCTCACTCAGAGTAAAAGTCAAGGTCATTGCAATCTGTACTTCCCCTTACTCTATGACCTCATCTTTTGGTAGTCCCTTTTTCCTCATTCCCTTCCAGTCAAATTAGCCTCCTGCACTCTGTCAAACAAGTCAAGGTTGCTCTAACCTCACTCCTTCTACTCTTGCTTTTGCCTCTTCTGGAATATCCCTTCCCTAAATATCCACTTTGTCCAATCCCTCACCTCCATTAAGAGTTTGCTTACATCACCTCCTCAGTGAACATCACCTTCTTGACATAAGATTTTAAGCCCTCTTTCTTGGCACTTCCTATCCCCCTGCTCTGCCTTACTTTCCTCCTTAGGACTTCTCAACATCTGGCACACTATATATCTTACTTATTTAATTGTCTGTCACTCCCACTAGATTGTTTTTGTTCACTGCTGTATTCCCAGTTACCAGAAGAGTATCTGGCTCACAACATACACTCAACAAAAATTTGTTGAATAAATAAATGAATGCAAGATCTTCTCTACATTCAAATTACCTAACATTTCTTGAATATCCAGTCACTGTGCTGGTTACTGTAAAAAATATAAAGATGAGGAAGCTTATTGTTTGCCCTCCAGAACTTGGTTCCTACTGGCAGTACCAAGTTTAAGAGCCAGACCCTGAGTTATATGGTCTTGACTCACCTCTTACCTCCAACCAGCAACATGACCTTGAATAATATTTCACCCCTCTGGGTCTCAGTTTCCTCAGCTGTCAATTGCAGATTACAACAAGAAAAAGACTTTGTAGTTTGCAGATAAGTGGATAAAATGAGAATTTTTGCTAAGTGTCTAACACTTTACATGACATTTACAAAATGGTACCCATATTTACTCCCTTTCCATCTCTCTTTCCTGTTCCCACCTCCGCCCACCAAATGTTTTAAATTCAACTCTCTTTTCTCTACTCCTGGATCCTTTTATGAGGTAACCTTTAAGTGCAGAAAAGTAACTGATCAGCAGGATAAACTGGGGAGAGACTGACCATTTATTTATTCACATTGTCATCATCTCAACAAGCTTTGAGTCAACTTCTCTGCTGGGCACTCAGAATAAATTAACAGTGTGCATGCCCTCAAGGTAGAAGTACACCTGGTACATTTGAATAAAATGCAAAAATCTCCAAGAGAATGAAAAAGGAGGAAGGTTGACAGAATAGGAGTGAGATTAAGAACACACTGTTTCAAAGAATATTACTAAGGAGAAAGCATGCAGAGAAGATGGCAAAGCCAACAAAGAACTGACTTCTCCCTCCCCATCCACTCCCCAACCCAGCTCTAAAAACAACTGAACAAATCCTAGCGGGGGCTGCTAATCAGCTTGTCGGCCCTGGGGCTGACAAGTGGGAGGGGAACAATTTGGTCAGGGCCTCTGAGGGTGTGAAGGCCACAGGGGCTTTCAGAAGCAGGGAGCAGCTTGGCTGTTATCAACTCACAACCACCCCCGCCTCCATCAGGCCGGCCCCCACTCTTTGTAAACCTGGCACTGCTGTGTCCCAGGGAGAGCTGTCACTCTGATTTTATTCTCTCTCACAGTGTGCCTGGTTTTTAGTAGGTGTAATGTCCCAGCATGGGGTTAGGAAAACAACAAGGGTTTAACTTCTCTTGAGTTTGATGACTTACTGTTGCAAAAATGTCTCCAAAAAATGAGTTAGCTATGGGGCTGGGAAAAGAAGTTTACAGAGAGACTAGGCTGACTCTACTCAAAACAAGTGCACTCTTAACCTATCAGCACCAAGTGAGTGATTGCCTGGAGAACAGAGAGCAGCTGAAGACAGCCAGAAAGAAAGTAGACAAGAACACAGCAGAACAAGGACAGGCTGCCACGGCGGTACTGTGACCTTACACTCAGACACACGTAGGTACAAATCCCAGTTCTGCCACTTGCTTTATGACTTTGAGCAACTTATTTATGTTCTCAAATCCTTTCTCATGCACCGAATAGCAGAAACGTTCCATGTCACACTATTGTGAGGTCATTTAAGTGGAAAAGTACCCAGTGCACTGTAAACTCCCAAGTTGGCTTTCTTGACTTACGTAAGAGTGAACACTCCGCCTTTTGACAAGTTACATTGCCCAACTAGCCTCTACATGAATATTGGAGTTTCTGGGTACACATAGGCTAAACATGACAATGCCTAGGATATTCTGCAGGCCCCCAAGAACTGCCAACATGCAATTCCTGATGTTTGGTTCCCTGGTTTGGGCACAGTATCCAGACCCTCCCTACCATCACACATTAACCAAGAGCTACTCTGAGCCTGACCTGTGCTCATAAACAGCTTACTCTCTGGTAAGCCAGACAGTACTTTGAGAGTGGTACACAATTACATTTCTTTGTCGACTAAACTTGGGGTGACTGAGGGAGTCACTGGGACCTACAACAGATAGAGGAGCAAGAACACTGGACAAGGAGTCAGGAGATCTGGCTTCTGATTTTACTTTGTCACTGAGGGCCGGGGCAAATCATTCAACTCACGAGCCTTGTGACAATAAGAGACCAAGTTGGCTCTGAGGTTCTTCTAGTGTGAATGCTTTGTGTTTCTAGGTTATATTCTGCCATTCTTTGCCCCAGGATAAGCACATAAATGGCTGGGTGTGTGCTCAATCATTTTTTTTCTAAGTTCTTGTAACACTTTGTCAGTTATTTTCCCATGGTAGCCACTGTTGCAGACCCTGAATTGGAATTTCATTTTATTACATTTACTGAATCTCCTGAAGGTAGGAACCTATGTACAACTCACTGGTTTAGTGCCAGTGCTGTGTTTTACACTAGGGCGCTCATATCTATTGATTGAACAGATCAGAAGAGTATCCCACGGAATAGAGAGAGTTTCAAGAAGAGAGGGTAGAATGCTGCACAGAAACCAGAGGTGACAAATTGTAAACAGAAGCTATTGGAATTGTCAGTGGCAAAAAAAAAAAAAAGCAGAGTTAGAGGTGATGGGCTAAAATGCAAAGTGAATGGGAAAGGAAGTGAGGAGACAAATGGTCTGTTCAGAGAGCTCTCACATGGGGAGGGAAGAAGGATGGGCTAGAAGTTCAAGCAGCCAGCAGTTTTTAGGAACAATCAACTTGAACATCCACAGGGAGAGAAGCAGATGCTGGAAGATACCATCAGAAGCAAGGAGGGTGGACGCAAGGGTCATAGCGGGTGAGTTCCATTTGGAAAGCAAGAGGAAAAGATTTTGTTCTGTGTACTAGGGAAAGGGGATGATGTGGGAAGAAGAATCATTGAGGTATGAGGCTGTAGAGGCAGAGAGGGACAGCACGAACAGCAAGAATATAAGATAGAAAGACACAGAAACTCAGGGACAGGCACAAGAAATGTGAGTCCACCTTGCTTCAAGATCCCTTCACCTGGTAAAACGTCCCATGGTCCTCTGCTCAACTGAACCAGCCTTCCTCCATTCTGCCAACGAGACAAACAGAACAGACCAGCCTGGGATTAAGTAGAACCTGCCTGGAGAGCTACCAGCTGGCTTCAGAAGGCATCTGTGTTGAATCCCCAACCTGATTGGACACAGGCAAGCCAGCAATCTGGGAAGCCTGCCCGATCTTCCAGACGAAACAGGGGGTTAAATGTTCTTAACATTGTAGAGGGAGAACCAAGTAGGCTCCCAGAAAGGGGTTTTTATTCTCATCTCATGGCTGTTATTATTCACAAAGCCTGCACAGCAGATCTTGGAGTTGTGCTTCCTCAAGTGATTTCCAGGAGCATCTGCCGATTTGATGAAGAATCTGATTCCATCAAAACACAAGCCAGTGATGACTCATTGCAAACTGTTGTTGTTGTTGAGTGTTTGCTGAGTGCAGCAGCTCTTTCTGGCATGGTCGCTGCCAGGCTGGGACCAGAAGCCAAGCAGGACTTGGAGAGAGAACAGTGAGAGGTTCTGCTTTGTGGCATATTTCTTACTTCTACCTTCTGTCCTTGGCTTCCTGCTCTTCTCCTGTTGCCTAAAATCTTCACAAGGACATGTTCCTGAGAGCTGCTGAGCCAGACACATACACTCCCCTGTGGTCTTGAGGTTTGTCCAGGGAAGGTCAATTACGAAAGTAACAAAGGAAGACACCTAGCCTCTTTACTTCCATGTCTTTCCTAAGACCCAAATGCTCAGGAATTGCATCGCTCATGGCACAAGGAGAAAACTGAAATTCCAAGAAGAGACCTTTCTTTCCTGTTTTTAACTCCATACTTTCTATCTTCACTGGACTTACAGGGCACTGGCCTCATCCTGCCCACTCGAGTCAAGTGTCTCACATGGGCATGGACAACAGAGCCCTTCCCCGTGGCCCCACCCCAGTGCGTCCACCCCCAGCCATGGGCGACAGTCAGACATCAAGCTCAACCCACGACCTCCAGTGTTTTTCTCTCTTATGTCTCCTCCCCACCCTCTGTGCTGTCCATCTCTGTCACTCACTTGTCCTTTTCGCTTCCGTCCCCACTGATCCCTCAACTTCTTGGGCTGCTCTTTGCGCTTTCCTGCTGCCAGCTTGCCAATTCTGTTGTCATCTGTCCCTGTCTTCATCCCTCAACATTTCTCCACTGACGTTGCCCTTTTGCCCTTTTCAGCCAATTAGCTATGATGTCTTCAAGTTGTTCATGAGGTCATACCTGGAGGTGGACCTTCCTCAGCCACTGAGCACACATCTCTTCTTGGCCTTTAGTCAGAGGCCCCAGTGGGATACCCCTGATCTTCCAAAGGAAGGGGCCAGCAGCAGTGAGGCCAGTAGCCCAGGTATGTAGACCATTCCCCACGATGCAAGGGAATTTTGAAGCCTCTACCACTTGCCTAGAGGCATAGGCTGCACACCTAAAAGCTTCCCCCTCCCCCTGGGGTGGGAATTGGAACTAGGGTTTCTTTCCTCAGAACCTCACAGCAGGTCTGATGGCTGTCTTAGCAAGAAGAGTAAAGAGAGGCACAAGTCCTGACACTCATAATCAGGGGAAGATGGAGGAAGATGTGGCATAGACCAGTGTATGGCAGGGGAAGAGAGCCTTCGTGAAGGCTTCCAGTCTGTGGACAAAGCACACTCAGGGTGTGTGCCCCGTGGAACTAGCCTAGGAGTGTAGAGAAAAAACAAAAGTATGGCCACGGGCTTTCTGCAACATGAGTTATAATGGGGAGACACAACTAGCCCCAATAAGGGACCATGAGCCCACAATTGACAGAAACTCAGAAACGGCCACACCTGGGGGGAAGGCCCCCTACCTGCCCCTCTAGAATGCTGATCTTTGCATCTTATCTTTGATGTCTAGATTCCAACTTACAGAATGCGGATAATGCTACCAAAGCAGATGAGGCCTGTGCCCCTGATACAGGTGAGTCTTTGGGGAAGATCTGGGGAGGGGGTGGAAAATAGCTTATCTGGGGAAGAGTGGAAAACCTAACCAACAGATTTGTCTCCGTATGATTAGGAAGCTAGTAGAGAGATTGAACATTTTAAGTGTGATATGAAAGTCAAAAAATACCAAGTGTCAGAGATGATGCGTGACATGAAAAATGTACCGAATGGGACTGATATTATAACAGACATTGCAAAAGAAAAGTGAACTTGAAATGATCTCAAATGACACACAAAGAGGATAAAAGACTAGGAAAAGAAAACATTGTATTGGTGAACTGTGGACAAGTTATAATCAAATAAACAAGCAATTAGAATATCTGGAGAATAAGGGAGGCAGTAATGGAAAAAACTGAAGAAATCATGGCTGAAGTTTTCCTAAATTTGTTGATGTTTGACACAAATTATAGGACTTCAAGTCCAAAATGCTCAATGAACCCGGAATATGTGAAACATAAAACTACACCAAGGAACATAATAATCAAATCGATTAAAATCAGTGATAAAAAGACAATCATAAAAAATAGCTAGGTAGGGCCCTCCCTGGTGGCACGGCGGGTTAAAGCACAGCACTGAGATGCTAAAGCCACTTCAGCATGAGTTCGATCCCCACCCTGGAGGTGATCCACATGGTGCATCAGACCTCTCCTGTCTGGCCTGTTCTGCTCCCCACTCTGTCTCTGGTGAATCCTCTCACAGTCCCTACACCTCTATATGCATAAATAAATTCTTTTTCTTTAAAAAAAAAGAAAGAAAGAAAAGCCAGGGGAAAAAGACACTGAGAACTAAGTTAAGAATGACTGCAGTATTTTTGTTGCAAACCAAGCAGATTGGAAGTCAGTAAACATCTTTAAAGTACTGAAAGAAAACAGAAATTATCAGCTTTGAATGTATTAGTGACACATCATTCAACAAAAGGCAAATAAAGAATTTTTCAAATACACAAAACATATAGAATTTGCACTACAATACACTGTAAAAAATATATATATCCTCTTAGTAGAATTATACCATTTAGGAATCTGGATCTGCATACAAAAGTAAAAAAACATGGGAACTGGTAATCACATGGATAAATATAAAGAATATTTTTATTAGTTAAATTTCTTAACAAAAATGATTAGGGCCTCTCTGGTGATGCAAGGGGTTAAAGCACAACACTATGAAGCTATCTACAGCCTCTGCAGCGAGAGTTTGATCCCAGGCCAGGGAAGTGACCCACATGGCATGGCAGACCTCTTCTGTCTCTCCTATGGCTCCCTTCAGCAGTGTATTTCAGTCAGTCACCTCTTCTGCTCTTCACTCTGTCTCTGGTGAATCCTCTCACCCCTGTACCTCTGGCCTGCACCCCAGTTCTTGTATTCATAAATAAATATTTTTTGAAAAGATAATTAGCTATTGAAGCAAAAACAATAATAGCATTGTACAGTATGGGTTAATACAATCTATACTAAAAGTAATATATGACAACAAATTCACAAAGATCTGGATAGTAGAAATGGAGGTTTATTATAAATTTTGTACAATATTTGCAGAGAGTAATAATGTTACTTGAAATTAGACTATAACAAGTTGAAATAACCCACTAAATACAGAAGTTGTACCTAATAATAAAGGATATATAATAAAATCATATTAAGATACTAAACTAATTTAAAAGGGAAAAAAAACATGGGATAAAATAAGCACCAAGATAGTAGTTTAAAATCTAAATGTGTCAGTTATCACAGTAAGCAGAATTATTCTAAAATATGTAGAAATTGTCAGATCAGATTTAAAAAAGGAAGACCCAATGATATGCTTCTTTTAAAAAAGTTAGTTTAAATGTATATAGTTTACTATTAATAATAAAAGAATGGAAAAAGATTTACCTTGGTAACACTAGTCAACTAGAGTGGCTATATTAATTACAAATATAATTATAATAAAGTTAGTTCAAAGGAAAGAATATTATCAAGTATACAAAAGTTACTTTCTAACCATAGAAGTTTGATTCATTAAGAGAATTTAATAATCCTAAGCATGTGTGCATTTAATAATAGAGATTGAAATTGCATGATGCAAAAACTAAGGCAAATACAAGAAGCCTACAGATCTCCAACTATAATTGGTGAGTTTGACACCTTTTTCTCAGTAATTGATAGAACAAGTAGACAGAAAGTCAATAAGGATATAGAAGACTTAAACAGCCTATCACCTTTACCAATTGACCTTTATAGAACAGTTCATCTAACAACAACAAAATAAATATCCTTTACAAGTAGTCATAGATTGTTTACTAAGACAGACCACTTGCCGGGTTATAAAGTCAATCTCAGTAAGTTTAAAAGAGTCAGATCATGCAAACTATGTTCTCTGCAGTGGAATTATTGAAAAACAATAGATATCTGTAAAATCCCCAAACATTTTGAAATAAAGTAACACTCCTCTAACTAGGGGTGAATGAGGAAAGCATAAGTTGTTTTGAAATAACTGAAAGTGAAAACATAGTATTTCAAAATTAGAACTAACCACCTATATTAGAAAATTTTTTTTTAAAGATTTTATTTTATTTGTGCATACAGAACTGGGGTACAGGCCAGAGACTCAGGGGCGGTGAGAGGCTTCACCAGAGACAGAGTGGGGAACAGAACAGACAGATCGACAAAGTACACTGCTGAGGGGAGCAGCGGGCGGGTCAGGAGAGGTCTGCCACGCCATGTGGTCACCTCCGGGGCAGGCAGGAATCAAACTCATGCGGAAGCGGCTTTAGATTCTCAGTGCTGTGCTTTAACCCGCTGCGCTACCAGGGAGGGCCTATATTAGAAAATTTTAAAAAGTTTAATTTGACTCAGAAATCAATGATCTTAGTCATCATTTAAGATACTAGAAAGGTAGCAAATTAAAGTAAGTAGAATAAAAAATGTAATAACAATCAGAAAGGAAATAAATGGAATAGAAAACAACAAAACAAGAGACACCAATAAAACCACAATTGGTTCTTTGAGAAGATCACTGAAACTAATAAACCTCTAGCCAGATTAATCAAGAGACAAATAAGAGAAGACACAAATGCTAACACCAAGAATGGAAAAGCCAACTCTACTATAGATTCAAGAGATATTGAAAGGCTAATAAGGAAATCTTATAAACAATTTTATATCAGTAAGTTAGATGACTTAGGCTAAAATGGGTCAATGGCTTAATCTTGTTAGGCAGAGCCAGGGAAGCCTGGCGCCCGGGGCAGACACCACGCATTGTCAAGGCACACTGCCCGGCACTCCAGCAGGACTCCTGAGTCAGGACTGTGCTCTCCCCTGCTATGAATGGACTCTGCCCTGGTTCTGTGTGTCCCAGGCATTGCTCCTTCTACCTGTGTGTTTCCTCCAGTCTCAGGTACTTTCTTGACATGTGTGTTAATATACAACCAAATAATTGCAGGAACTCTCTGCCTGTCAGTCAGAGGGAGCCTTCTGCAGATCTCTGGACTTCCCTCATTGGGTAGCTTCCTCCTCTTGAGTACTCAGCTTTGTGAATTTGACTCACCTTGGACTTTCTAGACTCCCAGTTCTGTCTCCTCACCTCAGCGAGACTACCAGAACCACCCAGGATTTCCCCTGCCTGTGTTGTAGCCTAGAAATGCTTTCCAGTGGGAAGGCGTGACAGTGGTAGGTCATCTCATGGCTCCCCTGGCTCTTAGGACCACCATTTGGTGCTGGCTACATTCACCACTAAATAATTGCCCAGGGCTCGTGGGTCACTCATTCCCCAAGGCACTGAACCCCTTTCAACTCTGGGACCTGTCCTGAATCACAAATCCACCCTTTTGCCTTTTGAACTCTATCCATTAGAAAAAATTTCATGATTTTTGGCCATGTTTTAGTTGTTTCAGATGGGAGGGTGAGTCTTCTATCTGAATTTTTACTAAATTCATATTTAATCAAAATAGAAGTAATTATTTTAATAAATAACTAATCCGATGACACAATGATAACTCATTATATTGGGTGGTTATATTAAACCACCCAATATAAAGGATTCTCACACTGAGATCTTTTTACTATTTTTCCTCCCAGTGATGATCTTCATACTCTTGCTGTATATGTAATTTCATTATAATTTCCCTGCATCTTTTTGTCCTTGTTTTTATCTCATCCTATTGTATTTTCTGCTCCTGTCTAATAACGATTGTATCTTCTTCTTTTTTTCTTCTTCTGATTTGCATAGTCAGTTTAAAGCATTATCTCAATTCCAGTAAGGAGAACCAACATTGCTGGACCATTTTAAATTACAAAAAAAAATAGTTGCTTGGCACCAATAGTTTGTTAGGACCTAGCAAAACCAGGTGGTCTGGCCACAGAGTGGGGAAGGGGAGAGGAAGGAGGGAGCATCCATAGGTGGGTGGCTGGGTACCAGGGAAGCACAGAAGGAAGAAGAAGGGGCTCCCAGGTGGGAGAGAATGATTGTTCTAATGGACAGAGTTCAAAAGGCAATAGGGAGGACTTGTGATTCAGAGCAGGTCTGTGTCGAAAGGGGTTCAGTGCCTTGGGGAACAAGCGATCCATGAGCCGTGGGCATGAGAAGCACCACCTGAATCACAGATGACACAGCCTGCCCACCCCACTGCAACCCCCCTTTTCTAGTGCCTGGCTGACCTGCTGACTCTCAGGCAGCCACTTCAACTTCCCAACAATATTCTGCAGCCCACCACCCAAACTCCAGGACCAGGACAGCTAGGGAACAGTAGGGTGGATGGTGGGTTTGGGAAGGTGAGTGGTCCAGCTGCTATTCCTGTTAAAAATACAAACACAAAGAAAATCAACATGTAGAGTGAAATAATCACAAAGTGAAAAGATATCCTCAAGCAGTCCCATCACCTGGAGGCTAGCAGGCTGAAGCAGGTGCCCTTGTATTTGCAGAACAGGTGAGCACGCTGCAGCTGAGTGATAGGGCTGTGGTCACCTTCCACCCCGTAAGCTACATCCCACGTCTCTGGACTCAGTGACAATGTCAGTGACCAACCACCATTACCAGCAGGCCAGCAGGCCACTGTCCACTTCTGGGCCAGAACCACCATGGCATCTGTGTCTAACAGCCTGTTGTCACCCAATGACTCATTTTCCAACCCACACTGTTGGTGGTCCAATCATTAGCATTGACATGGGTGGGCCTGTCCCACCAGGTGAACTTCTGAAGGCCTCTAGGGTGAGAGCGATGATACCACTGTTAAGGAGTGGAGACCAAGGTGCCCACAGCAGTGAGACTCAGGTGCCCACATCAATGAGACTCAGTGCACTTCTGCTGTATGTAGGTGGTGGTTGTGATTCACGTCTTGCTCTGGTTACCACTGTCAAAGATTTTTTACCACTGTGGGCAAGCAGGCTAAAAGTTACATCTTCTTGCAACCCGCTGAGGACTTGTCCAGTAAGAAATTATTTTCAAAAGTCCTAGTCCTCTAAGACTATAGAATGAAGCTTCCTTTCCTTGGTTGACAATTCTGTTTCTTAAGCTCTGTCTTGGTCATTCCATACAGAGTCATGTACAGAGTATGGCAATAACTCTGCTGAGTATGGCAATAACCCTGCTCTCTCCTGCTGTATGGATGGATGACACTTAACTCCCTTCTCAGGTGCAAGCTACCCCCAGGACCTAGTTGACTTTCATCTAGCACAGCACAGCTGAGCTGAGCTGGAGCATTCACTGCCTTTGCTGGACACTTGATTTCTCTGAATAGAGCATACAGAGCTTACTGGAGACATCACTGGCAAGACGACCCACTTTCTGCCTGTGTCTCCACACACTTTTATTTGATGGTACTACACACTTAAGTTGGAATTTCTACTGCGAGTCTGCCTTTTATCTGTGGTTGTGTGTGTGTGTGAATTGAACGGTCTCACTGGATTTATTTTTAAGATTTATTTATGCATGCATGCAGAACTGGGGTACAGGCCAGAGGTGCAGGGGCGGTGAGAGGATTCACCAGAGACAGAGCTGGTAGCAGAACAGGCAGATCAACGAAGTACACTGCTGAGGGGAGTAGCAGGCAAGTCAGGGGAGGTCTGCCGCACCATGTGGATCACCTCCTGCGTAGAGGATGGATCTCACACTGCAGCTAGTTTGCAGTGCTGTGCCTTAAGCCATTGTGCCATCAGGGAGGGCACAATGGATATTAAGAAATTATTTCTGATGGACACAGATACAGAGTTGGGTGAAGAGTCAATTTAATGTGCTTTAGTATAACTCACAGTAAAGTATAGGTGTCTGGTTTTCTGGCTATTAGTAATCTTATATTTCTGAACTAGAAGACAAGCAACATGAAAGGGACAGATAGCTTTCCTCCTACAAGAAGGAAAATTTCAAAAGGATATCTTACTCTATCCCTATGGTATAATAAGCTTCTTTTAATTTTCCTAATTTAACCAGTTAGAGTTAACTAAAATCCTCCTATTTCCTGTAAATTAGTTCATTGTCAGTTCATTTTCTCTTTTTTATATTCATCTTTCTATTAAGTATATTTAAGGAGAATATTGTGAAAGGTAATTTCTTAAATAACCAATAATCTGGATTTTGGAATCCCAGTTAAAATTACCTCTACAAATTGCATGTGTTACCAAAAAGTTAGCTAAAGGAGACATACCTCTTAAGTTGCTATTACTAAAAGTCACTATCATCTTTTCTGAAAATTCAGAGGGTAATTTATTTCTTATAAGGATATAAACTCTTTAAAACGTCAGAATGAAGTCCATACACTGTACGGACATAAAGTGTTTCGGGACCACTGATTTGATTATAGCTATGTAACCAGAGTTTCTGAAGACATGTAAAATCCCTGTCTCCACCCTGGGAAAGACAGTGCAGCAAAAAAGGTTTACTGTTTGCTAAGCATTAAGTGTCCTTGAAAACTTTCTTGTTGTCATTCACAGAATCAAAGGTCACCGAGAAGCAAGGACCAACTAAAGACCAAGTGGTGGCTGCAGCGCCCTTGGAAAGCACCATGGCTCGACCTTCAGACTCTGGGCCCCCCATAGTGTACCTGAAGGATGTTGTGTGCTACCTGACCCTGCTGGAGTCAGGGAGACCTCAGGATAAGCTAGAATGTAAGTGCCACCCTGGGTAAGGGACTTTAACTTTTCTCTGGAGGGTCTGTGACCTGGGCATCTCTCTAAATAGGCTGGAGATCAGTGTGGGGTCACGGGCAGGAGTCCTGTTTCTTTGGCAGAGCTTTTCTGTCCCATCACCAAGAGAGCTGTGAGCATTTTCTAGAATCTACCAGAATCTTCCTTTGCTTCTGCCAGTTTCAAAACATGCCTTCAGGGGATACTAGGTGGTGGAATGGGAAGCACACAGGGCTCGAGACAACCTGTGATCTGTGGACAACTCCCTCCATGGGTTGCATTTCCTGCATTTCCCAGGGTGGATTCTAGAAAACATTCATAGCACTCTTGGTGATGGGACAGAAATTTTCTGCCAAAGAAATAGGGCCTGTATCCTTGGCCTCTGTGAGTCTTCAGGAAAATTATACTAAAGCACATTAAATTGACTCTTCACCCAACTTATGAAAAACATATGTATTGTTTGATTTCTCTTGAGGCCTTAGTAGATATTAAGGGAAACACACACACTATAGCAAAAATCAAAATTTCAGTTCATAATAAGACTAGTCAACACAACTTAAGCCTTAGGAAGGAAAAGCCTGGCAATGGTTAACCCTTGCCAAAAACAAAACAAAACAGTTTGCTCATTAACTGAGTTTACAATCTCTCCCATACGTTTGAGGTGTTAACAATTGCAAGTCTTAAGTGCTAATTTGGAAGCAAATATAGCATATTTCTGTTTCTTCTGGCTAATGTTAAAAGTCAAATATCAATTTAAAGTGTTCAAAAACACAAATGTCATATTACTTCCAACATTCAGCTAGATTATGAATAAGTTTTCTATTAGTTCACAAATACTCTCCAGGATGTGGCAGATTCTTCATATCAAATCGGGTCTTTTAATGACAAAAAAATTACACTGCATTTTAGAAAAATTTTTATTATAGAAAATTTCAACACAGAAGTGAAGAGTTCCCTTAAGTCCCATGGGTCTATTAGCCAGGTAGGTGGTTCACCTAGTGGGTGATCCATCTTGGTTTATTTTAATCTCCTCCTTATTCCTGCTGGCCTAGATTTTTTGATACAAATTTTACATATTGTACATATTTCCAGCAGTCACCTTTTTTACAGTACAGACTTTCTTAGATATCAAACAACACCATTATCAATTTTAAAGAAGATTTTCTCTTACTACTAACAAATATTCAGTCAGTATTCATATTTTTCCAATTTTCTTACATATACTTATATAAGGTAATTTTACATAATTTGTTTGAATGGCTACACATTACCATCGTTTATCAAGTCTCCAGTCTCCTTTAGTTATTTGGTTCATCATCTTTTTTCTTGCAAACGAATTATAGAAACTTGGTCATTTGTCACATAGACCAACACCTTGTTATTTTTTCTTACTTAAACCAAACAAATCCAAATCTTCGGATTGTAATTATTGAGTTTTTAAAAGTTAAGTTTTTCTTTTTGAGAAGCAAACATGTGTTTTGCAAAACAATAGCATGCCATTCCACCTAGGGACACTGTAATAACAGCATTAACTCTCACAATGGGACATCTTCTATTTGCTAAGCACTATAAATGCATAGCTCATGTTATTTCACAATAATCTGAGAAGAATCATAAGATTGTTCTTTTTTACATCTAAAAGAGCAGAAGGGTTAAATAATTTGTCCAAGACCACAGTGCCTCAAAAGGGGATACCAACTGGGAGTTTCTAGAGGGGCTCTTTGCACCCAGCAGGACCACAGCTACACATCAGAGTCTCCCAGGCCCAGGGTCCTGTGGCAGCACTAGTGAGAATGTCTGTCCTCACATCGGCAAACCATCTGGTTAGTGAGTCATCCTCATACTGATTGCGACTCTGACCAGAACATCCTGAGGAATCACCAAGAATCACAAGCTCTTGACCCTACTTCTGTTCAGGGATGCACCACTGAAACACAAGATGAAGAAATGTGAAAATACAAGGGCAACTTAGCAGGGCAGGTGCTGAGCCCCAAAGGTGTCCACAGAGATGTAGACAAGATAAAGAATTTTAAAGGAGAGGAAGATGAAATACATGTTTAGCTCCACTCCCCACAATACCTAAGCTGAGACTGCAGTTAGTTGAACAAACATTCCTGAAAATTTGAGCCCTTTGCTCAAATTTCTCTCCCAGATCTCTTTATCCTACTTTACCTCTCTACTCTTAGAACACTGTAGATGCTATTTCTGAATATCATTTTAGAAAAAGAAATATGATAGTACGATAATAGTAACTACTTCATGGCATTGAAGATTAAATAAGTAATAATGGTAAAGTGAAGATTAAATAATTAATAACACTAAAACATATGTATTAAATACCATATGTAAATGTTCTTTAATGAAAGAAAATAAATAACATCTGCTGAGTGCTTTCTACTTTCTATACATTGCAAATTTGGCTTTTCATTTACACAGTTAATTTACACAGTCCACCACTTACACAGTTCATTTACACAGTCCACCTAACAGACTTAGGAGAAAGACATTGTAATCTCCATCTTACAGATAAAGAATCTAAGTGCTAAGAAGTTAAAAGACTTGTTTGACACACTAGTTTTGGCAAGGCCAAGATTTGCATCCTCCAACTCCATGATCTTTCTATACCCCCTGGAAACAATGGCACCTCTAGAATTCTGATGCCTATGCCTCCCTCCCCCCACTGCCATCTGGGCATTAGCTGAGTTCCACGGATACTCAGTGATGTGACACTCTATAAAGATGACACGCGAGTCCTGGATCTCATCAGGCATGAGGCTCTTTTTAGGCCTGGAAGTGCTTGGTTCTCCTGCCTCTTCCCACCCTCTAGGAAAATCAGATTGCATTGGAGGGTAGATGAGCTGCTGTAAAACCCTTACTCACTGGTGGTCAGAATTGATCTACAAACTGGTAGCATCAAAGCGGCTGCCCATCCATGGTACCTAGAGGACATCTCAATTCTCACCTCTGTGTTTCTTACAGACATATTTCATCTCTATGATTCGTATGAGAAAGGCCTCCTGGACCAAGCGGTAAGCTCTCATTTCAAATATCCCTCCTGGGCCCACAAAAGGCTTCATGAGAAGAAAGCAGGTGGAGGGAAGGTCTGGAAACTCTTAGTTCCATCTTTATAGGAATAGCCATGTTCCAACATGACTGCAGAAGTCCAGTAGAAACTACCTCCCTCTTCTACTTCCAAAGAACCAGACCGGGGGGAGAGTGCATCACAACTTGCTTTTTCATTCCAGTAGCCAGAATTGAAAATTCTCAGAATAGGGAGAGCTTTCATAGCTTATCTAGCTTAACTTCTCAACCAGTTCAGAAATTCCTCTTGCAATTTCCTGCTAGAGAGCAGGGGCAGATTGAAGAAGGGAGTGGGAGTGAAAGTATGAGCCATGTAAGAGGGCCAGTGAAAGGCAGGGAGCTGCTAGTGTTCCTTGGCACCCCTCGTACCTAGAGGCACTAGTTCTAGAAGCCTGGTTCTGTCTGCTCTGAGTGCATGATCCCATCCCATTGTACCTGGTAAAGCCTGAGACTTACTCTCAAACACACACTGCCTACCCCCCACTGAGGAAAAGGAAGAATTGGTCAGAATCAGAAAATAAGAAGGAGGGAAAAGGAAGAAAACATGGAGGGAGAAGAAAATAGAGACAGACAGGTCTTGTCCTTGTGAAAAGTCAGGTTAGTGGTGGGTCTTATTAACAGAAAGACGCTGAGGGTGAAGCGCTTGAGACTGAGTGAGACCAGTGGAAGGGAGAAGGGAGAGAATAGATAGAAGCTGAGGTCAGAGAAATAATAGGAGAGGGGAGATTGCAAATGTTATTAAATCTAATCCAACAAAACCACCCCAGCTGCATCTGAAACCTAGGGTACCTGTTTGGATCCCTATAACTGTATCGCTTGGCTGGGGGTTGGGTCATGTGAGAGAATAACCAGAGAATCATAGACTCTCATGCATTCGGTCCACGCGTTTTTACTGGGAGTCTTATCAACTGTCAGGCACTATTCTAAGCGCAAAGTCTACATGAATGAAGTCACGGAACAAAGATGTATGCCCTCATGAAGCTTTCATGCTAATGAAAGCACACACACTAGGAAGCATAATAAAGTGTGTGTTAGGTAGAGTTGTGTGCTGGAAGAGACATAAAGGAAGAAAAGGAAGTGTTGGAGGGAGCTGCAGTGTTAGCTGAAGGAACCAAGGAAGGTCTCCCTGGGGAGGGGACGTCTGAAGGACACTTGCAAGAGGTGAGGGAGTGAGTCACAGGACACTTGCAGGAGGTGAAGGAATGAAGAACATTCCAGGCAGAAGAAATAGGGAGTACAGAGGTCCTGAGGGGTGCCCCGAGTGAACACCAGGAGAACACAGTAACTGGAGCAGAATGAGGCCATCAAGTGAGGTCTGAGAGAATAAATGATAGAAGCTGAGGTCAGAGAAATAATAGGGGAGGGGAGATTGCAAATGTTATTAAATCTGATAGATGATTCAAAGGATTTGTCTTTTACTCTGGAAAAAGGGAGAGCCATTAGATCTCGAGCAGAGGGTTGACATGATTCATTTATGTTTTAGAGACTCACTCTAAGCTGCTGAGACTGGACTGTAGGGATGCAGAGAGAGAAGCCAGCTAGGAGGCTGCTGTAATGAAGAAATGATAGTGACTGTGCCAGGGTAGAAGCATTGCAGGTGGTAGGGAGGTGTTTTACTTACAGGTGTATTTTGAAGATAAACATCAGTGAACTGAATGAAAGGAGAAGTGGTCTTAAAAGAGATATCAGGGCCCTCCCTGGTGGCACAGCAGGTTAAAGCACAGCACTAAGAAGCTAAAGCCAATTCAGCATGAGTTCGATCACTGCACACCCCGGAGGTGACCACATGGCGCGGCAGACCTCTCCTGACCTGCCCGCTGTTCCCCTCAGCAATGTACAGTAGGCCTGTTCTGCTCCCCACTCTGTCTCTGGTGAATCCTTTCACTGCCCCCGCACCTCTGGCCTGTACCCCAGTTCTGTATGCATAAATAAATAAATCTTTAAAGAGAGAGAAAGAGATCAGGTTCAAGTTCCCACCTAGAACCTCTGGCACTCCCCATAATGGAGAGTTCACTCACTGCCCTAGGACAGCATACTGCTGGGGTTGGCTGCCAGAAAGAACTTCCTTTCTGCACAGAAGTCATCTCTAGTCTGCTACAACAACACAAAGTTGACCCCAAGCCCAAGAGTGAAGCCAAATGGGCCAAGCCTCCACTGACTTGTCACTTGCCTACATCCCTGGCTCAGTCTTGCTGCTCTAGTTGACCAAACAGCTGACCCATGGGATACAGACTCTACAGAAAGATTTCCAGGACTTAAAGGTGCTATCACACTTCCCCTAACGCCTCCAAGGTCAATTTTCCCAATTCTTACAGTTTGTCATGAGGAGAGCTGTAATATCTATTTGGGCCAATGCCATCCTTAAACGATGGCACAAACTGAAGCTGCCCCTCTTGAGACTAAGTATCTACATGCGGTGTGCCCCAGTCATACAGCAAGGAGACTCCTGAAATCTACCTCCGCAGCTTCTATTTACACAACCCAGACTGAGCCCGACTCTCAGTTCCTGGATCACATTGTTTTCTCATTGAATCGTCTACACAACTTGATTCACAGATTCTTTCCCACTGGATTTCTGCCAAATCCTGTGCCCTCCTTCTGCTTAGTTCCTTACCCCCATCTCCAGGTCCATCCTGAAGTTTTGCAATGGATTCGTTTTTAATTTAAGTAAAATATAATTCTCGATCCCTGTAGGGTTTTTGCTGGCTTGGTTTGACCCAGTATTCTACCTGAAAGTGGTCACACTTTTGACTCTGGGTTCAGTTCGTCAGTGTGTCTCCCTGGATCAGTCTTCTTATGGACATCTTAAATAGAGCCCAAGAAACCCAAACACCTTCCTAGTCCACCGTGTTTCAGTGGGAGTCTCAATGCACTGACTCATTTGCATCTAACAACTCTCTGAGCTTTCAGATGGAGCCTGGCCTTGCTGCTGAACAAAAGGCTCACTCATCAGGAAATGTGCTCCTCATTAATTTCCTGTTCACAGAGTCCTGGTCTGGGGGCTGGATGTAGGACAAAGGAAACAGAGGAGATGCCAAAAAGCATCTAAATCACAGGTCTGAGCTAGACCAACACAGTGACCCAACAGCCAACTGAAGTCAACCCCTAAGGAAATAGATGACTGCAAGTTGCCAAAGCTGTGGGAATGAGGAGTGGCCAAGGGGTGAGGCAAGAGTTGCCTGGGTTTATAAGTATCTGTGGAGACTCCCATCAAGAAGCAGAAAAAAGGAGTGCTTTCTCTGCTCCCTATGTCAAAGCACAAAATTGAGGGAGGCTAAGGAAAAATACTTATTTGTTGTAAACCTTGACTTTGGGGTCAAGTTTTAGTTAGCAGTGGGCATTCTCACGCCTCTGCTTTATTCATGACCTGTGCCTTGTGTAAGTACCTAGTCCCCTGAGCTATGTGGTCAAGACAGAAATAATGGAACAAAGGTGAGTGTATGGCACTGGCTGTTCCCATGTGCTATCCTGTCACCTCCACACGGGGTTTGATTCTGAATCTTGTCCTTGAAAACACATCTTTAGATGGCACTTCTCCTTGATGTTTCTAGGAGCTGGATCGTATCATCAACCAAATGCTGCACATTGCCCAATATCTGGAGTGGGACCCCACGGAGCTAAGGCCTGTGAGTTGCTAGAAGCATGGGTGACTTCTAAGTGAGCTTCTGAAACAAGAGTGGACACACTCAGGGCTTGGCCGCAAATCTGTATGGTTCAGACTCTTCAGGCTCATTTCTTGACCTGCCACTTCTCTAATAGGAAAAATTGGAGGTAGTAGGTGGAACTATAGACAACATGTAAATAATTCCACTTGACCTTTCCATCAGGGCTAAATTTTCTTATAATGTGAGTTCGTAGATCAAAGAATTTCAGCCTAGAAATAATTTTAATGTTTTTTGTCAAAATACCAAATAATAAAAATAATTACATTTCAATGTTCCTGGGAGTCAGCCATTTCTTTAGACATTCTAGACACACTGCTCATCCGCACCACGGTGCTGCAAACACAGCAGTATTTCTGCTCTCCAGATGAGCAAAGCAGAACCAGAGAGCCAGAGTGGCTTGTCCTAGGCCACACAGTCCTATTGGGCCAAGACAGACCTGGAACTCTGGCTCCCACTAGCTCCCTCACTGCTCTACCCTCTCAGAATTGGGGGGAATGATAAAATACAAACCAGATCATACAGAGCAGATGAGGAAGAGGAGGGCAGAGAGAAACAGAGAAGTTGAGAATGAAAGCCCACAATTGTTGCTCTTTGGATTCACAGATCCTGAAGGAGATGCTGCAAGGGATGGACTATGACCAGGACGGCTCTGTGTCCCTGGAGGAGTGGGTGCACGGGGGGATGACCACCATCCCACTGCTGGTTCTCCTGGGCATGGATGACACTGTAAGTCAGCCACGTGGGCTTGAGCTCTTAGCTTTCTGGACCATCTGACTCCATGTGTCTTGGCTTCCCCCCCGGGCTTCCCAGGGGGAACAGTAGATGCACTGAGCCAAACCCCCAAATCCTCTCTTTTTCCCCATTGGTGACTGAAATATCTTTATTCATCTGACAGACATTTGTTAAATGACCACTAACTCAGGACACTTTCTGTGGCACTGTGAGGGGACACAGATAAAATATTCACCTGTCAAAAGTTTAGGCAAAGGGGAAAAACATCAAGGAGAGATGCCATGTTTTCCACAATTTGAGTTTAAAAATAGTAAGAGATTTTTTGAAAGAGGAAAAAATACTTTTTTGTTGTGAGGTGAAGATTATTTAACAGTGATACTTTATTAATTTAACAATCAAATAAGTAATTCCCCACCTCACCCCCAATTTATACAGATGGGATATAAGATTCTGAGCCTAAGTAGTGAGAGGAGAAGCCAAAACTTTTTTGTACCAGATTCCAATGATCTTGAAATTTCTATCACCCCACCATTTAGGAGTGAGATCAGTTGAGAGAAACACTGGAGGATGTTTGCCTGGGCCCTAAGGCATGCATGGGTTTTGATACCCCATTCAAAAAATCAGGTGAAAAGACCTCAATTGTTTTATGTGGCTCTCAAGGATGGAGATGGTTTGGCCGGCAGTAGAATGAATTTGTATCCTAGGCAATAGCTTTATCAAAGACCCAGATGAAAGAGAGTTCGGAGTAGAGGTAGAGAAATCTTCTGACTTGATTGGAGATCATGGAGAGATTCAGTGTAAAATTGGTGGTTACAGATTCCTGTTGTGACCAGGTCAGTGACTGCATTTTCTGCTTCTTTGCCAAGGGGAATGGTTTCCATACACCAAGAAGGTAAGATTAGAACTAGAAGTACAAACGGTGACATTAAGTATTTCCCAGGACAGTCACATAGGTTGTGTGACAACACCTCTTTTAGATTACTGAAATGTCATATGGACAGGAACAGAAGAGCAAGTTCAACTGAGTTAGTCTCTAGCTGACTGTCTCCATATGACAATTCTTCAATTCAGAATAAAACTGAGCCTTCATTTCCAACACCTACAAGCTAAGAAGCCTGCAATGATCTCACAGCATACTCAGTTCTGTCTAAGTGCTAGATAGAAATCAAAGAATGTCTACATAACTCCCTTCTTACTCCCTGGAACTCTGGACAGGTCAGAGCTGCAGGAAGCCATCACGATGCCTGGTCTATCCCTTTCACTTATAGCCTGAGGGTCACAGAAGTAGAGGGACTTGCCCATGGCATACCCTAGTTATACCAGAGACCATTATTTGACTTTCAATAACAGCAGACCATTCAGTGGTCCCTTAACAAGAACTCTCTGTGTGCCAGATCTATACGAACTAGGACCTGAGTACGTAAGATATCTTTCTACTATCAATACTCACTCAAGACCATATGCTAATCCAAGTGTCAGCTCTGGTTGGGTGTTGTGCAAACATACCTCTTTTTAACCTGAAACATGATCCTATACAAATGGGACATTTTAACCACAAGGAACCAATTTCTATTTTACATTTTGGACATGCTGAGTCCAAAGTGCCACCAACACTTTGCATGTAAAAGACCAACTGTCTTACAACTGGAGAAGGACAATTTTTCTTCAATATTTGCCTCATCATCTTCTGCACGTGCTAAATCGATTCTATAGAAAACCATGACTTACATCAGAAAAGTGGCAACAAAAGGCATCTGTGAAATTCATGTTTATGAATCACAAATTTTAGGCACTTAGTTCTAAATAGGCACTAAATTGTAAAGTTTCCTCTTTCATAGTTAGGCACTAAATTGTAAAGTTTCCTCTTTCATAGTTAGGGTTCTAGAGAACCCTAGAGACATCATTCATTGATGTCTTAAAAGTGATATTGCCTGTTTGGCTTTTTCAAAGCCCATGCTGGTTACCAAAAAAAAGTCTGAAGGGGATTCAGAAGGGGATAAGGCTAGACAATCTGTCTCCCAGTGAAATTGCAGTAGCAGCATAAAACTGAGCATGCACAAGAAAGTTACTGCACAATCAGCAGCCCCTAATTGCAGAAATGATCGAGCCACACGATGGTGCTATATCCCTAGCAGAAATGTTACTTGATCCCCTGTCAACATTCTTATACCCTCTATCTATGAAAATGTAATCTGAAAAGGAGAGTCCGTTCCTTAGCTAATAAAGTTACTTTCAGGAAAAATACAGTCCTTGGGCTGCAAAAAGAAGCAGCTGGGTTTGCTGAAAGGGCTGTAGCTTCTCTGTTCATGAAGAAAAACTCTGGTTTGTGGAGGTAGAAGAGGGCAAGTGAAGGACATGTCCACGAGGCCTGTGTCACGGCTGCTGCAGTCATTAATTATCTTGGGCTGTTTGTATAACTCTTCTGTCTCTGTGTCTTCATGCCTTGAGTAGATGGAAATCTACCTCCTTATACATAGGAAAATATTCTGTATTTATTTTTCTGTCTCCTAGCATCTAGCACCAAATGGGAACTTAAAGATCTAATGTATCATGGGTAAAACCCTGGCTTAGGGCCCTTATTACATGACGATGTTTGTGAAAGGATAACTCGTCAATGTTTTAATGAATTATTTAACCAGTTAGTGAATATATTTACTGAGTGGAAACCATTAGATATAAAAGCTTTACCTCTATAGAAATCGGGTCTTAGGGCCCTCCCTGGTGGCGCAGTGGGTTAGGATGCAGCGCTGCAAGCTGGCCTCAGCCACTTCAGTGCAAGTTCGATCCCCAGCCCTAGAGGTGACCCACATGACACAGCAGATCTCTCCTGTCTCACCTGCTGCTCCTCTCAGCAGCGTACTTCATCGATCTTCCTGTTCTGCTCCCCTCTGCCTCTCGTGAAGCCTCTCATTGCCACTGCACCTCTGGCCTGTACCCCAGTTCTGTATGCATGAATGGATAAATCTTTAAAAAAAAAATCAGTTCTTAGAAGAAGCAGGATTTTTAGAATCTACAAGAAAGGGTCAGTGACAGTGTGCATGGAGGGAAGCCACGGCCTCTACTGATGCCAGAGGTGAGAGCTGTAGTGTGCAGGGAAGGTCGGTGGGCTTGGCTCATCTCATGGGTAAAGGTGAAATCGGCTTCTGAGCCATGTTGGGAAGAAACAGCTTTAACCCTCTCTCTTTCTCTGTCTCTTTAATGCCTTTTATTAATTTATCTGTATATGAGGTTTGATCATTTAACCAAATAAATGTGATGAGAGGAATATGTTGTTTTTACTAAATTATTTTTTCCAAGTTATTTGGAAACTTTCCTTAAAAATGTGGAAAACACAAAAGAAAGTAAAAATTAGAGAGTAAAATAAATCCATAGTGTGAGCTATGAGTAATCCGTTAACAGTTTGGTGACATTTTTTTCCCATCAAAGATCTTATATAAAACTAAGATCATAAATCAAACTTGATTCTGCTTTTTCACTGAACATTGTATCATGGGCACATTTCCATGACATTAGGTAGCCTTGTAAATATCTTTTTGATGGTCACTTAACATTAAATACCATGGTGTCCTACCACTAGCCTTTTGATAATTTTGAGATCCTATATTTCCAGTTTTTCAATATTTTAAATAATGCTGGGTTAAACTTCTGACAGAACATAAAATTGCTCTTCTGTCTTTTAAAAATTATTTCTTTAGGGTAGACTCCAAGAAGGGAAATTTGTATGTCTTAATTTGTAAACAGGAAGGAAGGGAGGGAGGGAGGGAGGGAGGGAGAGAGGGAGGAGAGGTAGAGACAGAAGATAGAAAGTTTGTTCTGATTTACAGTTTCACCAGTTATGTAGGTTATAGAAAAGGGTATGTTTTATCTTATACACACATACTCCCACTACAATAGTCCTAGTTTTTAAAAAAAATTTGTTAATTTTGGATAACATGTGCCCAAAGAACTTTCATTTTAATTTGTATCCTTTTATTAAGTCTCTTTACAATAAGCAAAATAAATATGCAATATGTCATCCATAATATGAAAATAGAGTCTTCTTAGAAAAAAGAATATACAGGAGGGGTCCCCCACCACGACACCTGCTGGCCTAGGTGGCCTGCTCAGCTGCATTCCCTGGCTCTTCCTGCAGGGATCCAAGGGAGATGGGAGACATTCCTGGACCATGAAGCATTTCAAGAAGCCAACCTACTGCAACTTCTGCCACGTCATGCTGATGGGCGTTCGGAAGCAAGGCCTGTGCTGCATTTGTGAGTCGGCGTCCTTCAAAACCCTTTTCCTCAGAAACTAGCTTGCTGTCACATGGTTGAGTCATGCCAGGGAAAGTCTTAATACTGCTGCTTCTTAGCCCAAGGGACCACCCCTATTATTCCATGAGCAGGGAATGAAGCAAAACGTCCATGTTCTGAGTTTGTTCTACCCAAGTCAAATGGACAAGAACTGGAGCCACTGACCCCTTAAAATAAAGTTATTGAAGTTCACAAATAATTGGAAAGCATCTCATATTAATATTGCAGTTGAGCTATACTAGTGAATATTTATTCAGGGTGGTCAGAAGAACCTTTATTTTTTATCATTAACAAGCAATGTTATACTCTATAAATGCAATGGAAATCAAGCTACATTTGTTTTACGTTAGAGTAAAGGAAAACATGTGTGAAAAGAGTAGGGGAACACTGGAAAGGAGAACAGCAGAAAGAGATGGAGGGGAAGGAAGAAAGGAGTGATGGAAAGAAGGACAGATTTGGGGAACGGGCAGAGAGGGCGGCAGGTGTGGCAAGAAACCTTTGTTGGGCCCAGGACATGTAGGTGCAGAGTATCACCAGGCAGGCAGCAAAATTCAGCCTGAACAAAGACTGAACATCTGGTGCTGAAGGGGACCCCTGTGTGCAGCCCAAGTCACCAAAGTGACAAGCACATGTGAACTAGGCTGAAAGTGGCTTCAGTCATAAAAGTCAGCAGAACTGGCCCTGTGTCTCCCAAGAGCAAGTCTCAGCGAGCAAAAGAAGGAGCCCTCAGGCTTTGTAGTGCCATCAAATCCAGCTCTCACCCCCTTTTTACCAACTCAGTCTCATTCCTAGGGGGTTCTAGGCCCGTGGGCCTCGGGGCTTTCCTACCAGTGAGTAGTAGAAACCGCAAACACAGCAGTGACCTGTGGCATAGGCTTTCTGACCCAGAGTCATGCTGTTTTATACCATCTCGTCAGCACTGTAGAGGCCCTGCAAAGGGAATGAGAGCCACTTGGATTGCCATTTGATTCCTCAACTTCAGAGACGAAAACACTTACCAAGACCATGTGGGGTAGTTACAAGTGGCAGAGTCAGAGTGCAGGCCCAGGAAGACCCTGATGCCAACCTCCCTGGCATCCACTACTGACTCCTCACACTCTCCTTAAGTGGAAGGCCCATTTCTGGGAAGTTTGCCTGCAGGGGACAGCAGTGTGGTGGGATGAAGGGTGCAGAAGTATATCTAGGAGAGAACTATGGGCTCTTTTCTCAATGAAAAACTGAAGACTGTTTTTGAAGTTCCAAATATGTACCCTGAACACCAGAGGGAAGCAAGGGCCTTGCTGCAGAGGTGGATGGGCTTTCTTTCCTAGCTGGTCACTGACAAGTACTTTCCTTATTTTTTTTCAGACTGTAAATACACTGTCCATGAACGCTGTGTATCCAAAAACATTCCTGGATGTGTCAAAACATTCTCAAAACCCAAAAAGGGCAACGAGGTTAGTGACACCTAGTGCCTGGTTCTACTGCATGGTCCATCCCAGGTAACATGTCCATCATCACAGATTCCTGGACAGGAAGGGCTTGGGAGCTTTATCCAGTCCTTTCCCTGCCTTGAGGACCACGTGTAAGCCATCCCGCCATCCATCAATCCATTCAGTATCTCCCCAGTGCCGCCATGTGCCAGGCACCATGCTAAGGGTACATGGGTTATAAGATGGCCGCAGCTTGGAGAACTGGGAGATTTAGGGTGAGAGAGAGAGACGTAAGGAAGTACCAAGTAGGGAGCTGTCAATAACAAGGGGACTTGTAAGCCCCAATTGAGGGAAGAATTCACAATGACTGGGGCACTTGAGCTGTGCCTTAAACTCAAATCAGGAGTTTTTCACCAGGCATCAAGTAGAGCAAGGCTCCCAGATGGGCATCCTCAAGCGCCAAGGCCTGAAGCATGGCTTGCTCGGATTCGTGTATAGTTGGGGGAGAAAGGGACTGAGGAGGCCTAAAGGAAAGTGCTAAGAGACGTGTGCCCCATAGGGTGAGATCCAGGGGGCTGTCTTGTGAGGCCAGCCAAGATGCTTGAAAGGAGCTGTCTATGCAGCTAAGGGACCTCTGAAGCACTCTGAGCCCAGGAAGAGAGGACGGTGTTTGGAATTAGGTTAATCACACCAGAGAGAGATCAGACGGGGAGGCCTCTTCCAACGGTTCAGGCAAGAGATTGTGCTGTCTGAGGGCCACCTGAGGCGGATCTGTGCTCACCCAGGGCTCTGACACCACCTGTGTAGTGGGCGTGGCCATGTCTCTGCTGAGAGGCCCCCAGGTGTAGAGTATTTTGATAGTCCCACTGCACAGGTGGTACCACCTGTGACAGGTACCACCACTAGCACTTGGCGATGCGGATGTAGAAGACCAGAGCAGGGAAGGTCAGGAATGGCCCCCAGGCTTGGGTAATTCCACTCACTGAGTCTGGAAATAGCTGTTTCTTAAAGTGAGCAAAGGCAGGGCATGCTGAGTTCCTGCAACTCAGGAGACCACTGAGAGTCTGAGCCAAGAGATGGTTAGTGGCAGGGAGTGGTATCAGCCCTCCCCAGAACTCCGAGAGAGGGGGGCACCTGCCAGGACTCGCATGCATGCCCGAGAGACACCGCATGGCCTCTTCTCAACTGCTCCTCCCAATCACGCCCATACACGCCTTTTCATGTCCATGCCTCTCGCCAAGACACACTGCACTCCTCCTGGCTCAGGCCTTAAGCCTGTACTCCGGCCGCTGTCACGTACAGACTAGAAGGAGGTCACTGAGGGGCCAGCAGGGCACATTCACCACCTTCTGAGCCTCCAGCAGCAGGAACCCAAGTCCTTCCCATCGCTTCTGATGCCATCAGAAGATGGAGAAAATCTGTGGTGTTGGGGGACAACCAGGAACTTGGAGTCAGGAGGCCCAGCTGGGTCCCCATTCAGCCACTTACTGACCAGGAACCTCAGGCCTATCCCTTAGCCACTCTGATGACTCATATTTATCTCTGCAAAATGGAGAAGGCAATAGTCAGAGCAAACTCAATGTGACCATGCAGATGACAAATGAATTCGTAAACTGGGTTCTTTATACGCATGATAGTGCAGGGCAGAAGGTGAGAAGATAAATGTGGCCCACCTTCTAGAGCAACAACTTTGCCAAACACGTTTTTGGGGGAGCACATAGTAACTTGATTGACAAGTGACTTAAAACTTGTATTAAATACAAATATGGATGGTATCTGTCTTCTAAAATCCCTTAAAGTAATACTGTGCTTGCCGTTAACACTGCAGGCTATTCTCCCCAAGCCCACCCTCACCACTTTCCTCCAAGGTCATAGACACCTCCTTCTCCTGGTGGAAGATTTTGTAAAGTTCTATAGAATTCCTGGGAGAAGTAACTGAGAGCTCAGGCCAGTTTGACTGCAGTTACACGCACACATACACATACATTCCCACCTGCTTCCCACCTGCTTCCAAGAGCCTGGGCTGCCCTAGTGGAGTTTCCTGGCTTAGTGGCCAGGAAACAGGACAACCTGCTCTCTAGTCTCTCCCTGACCCACACTAATTTCTTTGGACTTTTTTCTATATTCCTTCCAGAGTACTTCTCAGTCTTGGCTACACATTATAATTACTCAGTGTGCTTTAAAACATATAATGATGAGTTCTGCCCCCCAAAACTCTAATTTATTTGTTGTGGTATATGGACAAGGCACTAGAGCTCTCAAAGCTCTCCAGGTGGCTCTGATGGGCAACTAGGCCTGAGCGCCACTAACCTGGAACAGCAGTGAGCAGGACTTTACCATCTACAGTCACTTCCAAAGGGAAGTGGACTGTGCCCGGGAATCCTTCCAATGGTGCTATCTTATTTAGTCCTTCCACCAGAGCCTCCCTGGTGGTGCAAGGAGTTAAAGTGTAGCTATGAAGCTATCCTCGGCCACTGCAACATGAGTTCAATCCCTGACAAGGGAGCTGACCCACATGGAGCAGCAGACCTCTCCTGACCTGCCCACTGGTCCCCTCAGCAGTGTATTTCAGTACATCTGCCTGTTCTGCTCCCCACTCTGTCTCTGGTGAATCCTCTCGCCCCCTGAGCCTCTGGCCTGTACCCCAGTTCTTGTATGCATGAATAAATAGATTTTAAAAAAACAATCCTCCCACCAAACCCAAAGGTGGGGCTTGTTTTGCCAAATTCTCATATGAGGGAGCTGAGACTCAGAGAGTCCAGGAAGTGGCCACAGTTCACCTGCTTTGAAGTGGACAGTCCACCTCCACCAGTTTTGTTTGGGGCCCAAGCTCTGTCCGTGTTTCCCTGCATCATGCCGCCTTCTGTAAAGAGCGCACACAAATCAGTCTGCAAGTTCTGCAAGATAGACAGAGGGACTGACAGTCAAGATGCCACCCAGAGGCTTGCTGCCAGGGCAAAGGAGCAGCTCAAAGCACAGGCAAAGTGGTTTTTCATCTTTTGATTAGCATGGTGGTGGTTAGGCAGGGAGGCAGCATGGCAGTGCAATTCAGTAAAGCTGCCCCATGCCAGATTAAGTGTCCGCTAAATAAGAAGCCACCCTGCCCGGGACTGAACTCCCCTCCCCATGCTCCTCCCAGACTCCTCTCTGTCCCAGGACCCAGGAGCTGGTTCTGCAGCCTTCCCTGGTATCCTTCCCTTCCCTCCCGCAGGTGATGCAGCACGCGTGGGTGGAAGGGAACTCCTCCGTCAAGTGTGACCGGTGCCATAAAAGTATCAAGTGCTACCAGAGTGTCACTGCGCGGCACTGCGTGTGGTGCCGGATGACGGTGGGTGCCCAGGGCAGCCTGCTTCTCTTCAGTGTGCTTTTATTTTTGATCAAGCTGTGGCCAAGGAGCAGTGGACATCCCACCAGAAGGTGCAGGTGGAGCCCAAGAGCATGGCTGGGGGCCCAGGGCCCCTATTTAACACCCTGATTCTAACAGTGCCTCCTATGGATCACCCAGCTGTTGGGGAAAGTCACCCCCAGGGAAGCAGGCTACTTTAGAAGAAGCTGAGCGATCCACTTCTGTTAAAAACAGTGTTAAAAACAGGCCAAACTCTCAACTTCCTTTGCCTGGGTGTCATCGGGGCCAGGAGCACTGACAGAGTGGGAGAGGAGTTAGACACCAGAGTCCCTGCAACTCGAGGCATCCCAGGAAGGTACACTGCTTACTGTGACCCCACTGCCTGGGTCAGAGACCTGCACACGCTGCCACCAGCCATAGCAGCTGTCCAAACCCCCCTCTGGATGCCTGGAGTTCCCAAAAATGCCTGACAGAGCAAGCAGGGCCATGTCTCATCCCTGATGCAGGGATCAGCCTCCAAGCAGACTGCAAAACTCTTGAAATACAGGGGTTGAGTCATGGGCCTACAGACCATCTCCCATGATTTTGTTCAACAAGATCTCTTTCCTTCCAGAGACTCAGAGCCTAGGGGGCAAATATCCGAGAGGGACTTTGTATTCCACAAGGGGCAGGTACCACCTTCCACACATACATACACACAGGCACAATGCATCAGTTTTGGGGGGAAGCAATTTCCTTGGTCACTTTCACTCACTTCATCATTTTTCTCCTCCAGTTTCACCGCAAATGTGAATTGTCAACATTGTGTGATGGTGGGGAGCTCAGAGACCATATTCTACTGCCCACCTCCATATGCCCCATCACCCGGGTAAGTGTCTGGTACACATTTAAAAGAAGGCAGTGCTGTAACAGTGAGATTGTCAGAGAAAATGCCCCTGACTAACCTGATTCCAACTGCCGGCCACCCAGGATGTTCTGAGATGGCCCATCACAGAAAACACATGTGAGCGAAGCGCCATGCAGGTGAAGTATACAGCCCTAGGACCCCTCGTCACCCCTGCATGTGGATAGGCCTCCCAGGCCTGCCTTATCCCTGTCAGCCTCTCTCTTATGTCCGCATATCCCATCTTGAGGATTTTCTTTGCATGCTTCAGCCCTGATTGAAAATGAAAGAGCAAGATTTAAATTTAATTAAAAATTAAAATTTATCCCCATATGCAACATTTCTCTGACTCCTATGTTGAAAATTCTCTTTCAAACTAAGTATCAAATGGGGCTACAGCTCAGTTTTTGACTGGAAGCCAAGTATCACACATCTTAAACATTCCCTTCTCATCTCAGAGATCCATCTGACCCGCACTGAGTTCTCACATCTCACCCTAAACTTGACCAGCTATTCCTTTTTCATGAAAAACAAATGAAGAAAAACACCACCTTAGAGAACCATTTGTTAGTATCTACCAGGTTGGAAACTCACAAATCCTATTACCCAGGTCCCCAGCTATGTAGCTACCTGAGCCAGATGAGGAATGTTGATGTCAACTGTATTCATAAACCCGCTGCCTGCGTCAGAGACCTGCACCGGCTGCCTCCAGCTACAACAGCTGTCCATACACCTTCTGGATCCCTGTTGACTATTTTAAGTTAAAAACTGAAAATGATAATATATAAATGAGTTAAGGCACATTTGTATATGGAGTATTACATTGCAGTGGATAAAGAAATGTGCTTATGTGCAAAAACTTAATCTCAAAACTATATGCTGAATTTAGATAATCTCAAGACTATAACGCTGACACTCAAAGAAAGATCTGCTCTATGACTTGAGATGAAATTTTAAATCCAGGTAAAATCAGTACAATATCAGAAGTCACAACAGTGTGCCTAAAGAGGTGGTAGTCATAAATGTATATGCATATATATATATATATATATGTTTGTGTGTGTGCGTATGTATGTACATATATACACACCCACATGCATGCAAATATGTATACAAAAGTTCACTGAACTGTTGATGGTGGTTTTAGCATTATACTCGATGTGAGGTAAACCTCAGTAAACTAACTCAAATATTTTAAATGCAAGTACACAAAAAGAGAAAACTAGGAACCATTTCTTATTCAGCATCACATGCATTAGTTCACATTACTTTACGTCAATGTTTGTGCATTTGAAGTATAGCATCTTCCCTAGGTGTTGCTGCCACACCTCAGCCACCACCAAAGATCCCACAGCCCTGCACCATAGTCCATTTTCTCCCACCCCACTTTGGAGCACTTCGGGGTTTTTTTGTTGTTTTGTTGTTGGTTTTTTTTTATTACAAAAGTTTATTTTTACATCATTTTGTACATTTTTTTTTCCATCCCGATTGTAATCCCGGCGGGTTTCCCATCACCAAATCACCCGTGTGCCATCACCATAATCCCGTGCATTTCTCTCCCCCCACCCCCATTTTTGATCCCATTCCCCAGTCCACCCCCGCAAAATGTCTCTGGTATATGGTTGTTCATTATTTTTGTTATTTTCTCGCCTGGTCCATTATACTCCTGCTATGAGTGACACCATCCGGTATTTTTCTTTCTCTCTCTGGCTTATCTCACTAAGCATGATCTTTTCCAGCTCCATCCAAGTTGCTGCAAAAGACATGTGTTTCTTTTTTGGTTGATGAGTAATATTCCATTGTATATATGTACCACATCTTCTTAATCCAGTCATCAATTTTTGGGCATTTGGGCTGCTTCCATGTTTTTCCAATTGTAAATAAAGCAGCAAGAAACATGGGGGTGCAGGTATCTTTTTGAATCAGTGTTTTTATGTCTTTTGGGTAGATCCCTAGGAGTGGGATTACTGGGTCGTAGGGAAGCTCCATGTTTAGCAGTTTGGGGAACCTCCAAACAGTTTTCCAGGAGCACTTCGTTTTTTAAGCCCAAAACCACTCTGAAAAACTCCTCCTGGCACTCTACTGACTTTCTTTATTAATTAACCATTTGTTTTTGTTCTGATCTGTTTTTTAATTGGGCTGTTTTCTTTTTCAACATCTGCTTGTCTTTCCTCTCCTCTAACAGGACAAGCAAGGCGGGAAGTCTGATGGCAGCGGGACAAGCAAGGGAGAACTTGTCATGCAGGTACTCAGCAAGTCCAAGGCTCATTCTAAGTCAGACCAAGGCTGTGGAGGAGAATATGGGGTTAGGACCTAGAGAAATAGCTCAAGATTTACTTTCTCATCTGATCAATTGTATCATACAGCAAACACTATTTCCAGTTTTGAGTTACCCCTGACTGTCACACTGTAGGCAAGTAGTGAGAAGGGAGGTGGGTTGATCCCATTGCTAGTCTAAGAGTCTCCCCTCCATTTTAGGAACAACTTACATAAAACTTCAATATAACCCTTCCTAAATAATAACAAGAATGCTTCCTTAAAATAGACAATAGATGGCCCTCCCTGGTGGCGCAGCGGGTTAAAGCACAGCACTGAGAAGCTAAAGCCGCCTCCGCATGAGTTCGATTCCCGCCCGCCCCGGAGGTGACCACATGGCGTGGCAGACCTCTCCTGGCCCGCCCGCTGCTCCCCTCAGCAGTGTACTTCGTTGATCTGCCTGTTCTGCTCCCCACTCTGTCTCTGGTGAAGCCTCTCACCGCCCCTGAGCCTCTGGCCTGTACCCCAGTTCTGTATGCACAAATAAATAAATCTTTAAAAAAAAAAAAAATAGACAATAGATGGTCCACGATCTCCAAGCTGTCTCAGGAATGTGATCTGCCAGAACGAAGCTAAGCAGATCCAAACGTTTTTCATCCTTCCATCTGTATTTAATGACTCATTTTTTTTTTTCTTGAGTTCACTAATGGACCTCCTTGTCTTTGTGCCTTCCTCAAAGTTCCAGGGAATGCAAGAAAGACAGCCTGGGGAGGTACTAAGAGTACTAGGAAAGGAAATAGAAAAATTAGGGCCTCCTCTTCTGCTTCTAAGCCTTAAGTTTTCTTGTTTAAAAAAGAATATAGCAATTTCTGCACTTTCCGCCTCCCCAAGATGCTACGAGATTGGAAACGTGCAGGTGTGTTTTCTAAATTAAAACATAAGGGATAATGACGGAGGCGCGTTAAAATGTGGGAAAGCTCTAGACACCTAGAAGGGCAGAGTCAGGTAGAATATACACACGCATGGCTATACCAGTTGTTCGTAGCTGGGATCCATCTGTTACCTGTATCTGTTGTGTTGAACAGAGCCATGCGGCACAGGTTGTTCAACATTTTGAATATCACTCCCAGAGGTAAAGAATTCCTCATTAGACTCCAACATGCTCTGATGGTCACACAGACAGTCACCATGGATAGATGAGAAAAATTCTTTAAAGTTATGAAGAACATTGCTGCCCATTTCAAAGAGGATGGCTCTGTGTTGGCTAAACTTCTAGCCGAGAGCCAGGAAAGCAAGCTTTAGATAAGGAATATGGCACAGAGATACACCTGTCTATCAGTGTGTTTTCGAGCTGAATACTATGTTCCTTGAGTCCCGCCCACCTCTTTATCTGAAGCTGGGGGCTCCTTGGTAGGAGGGTTATACAGTTGCTCTTTAACAACCTGAGTTTGAACTGCGTAGGTCTGTTTATATTTGCTTTTTTTAATAACTGCATTTGGCCTACATATCCACAGGTTCCATATTCATAGATCAAGCAGATGCTGGTTGGTTGAACCTATGGAAGGGAGCCCACAGATGCAGAGGGCTGGAGGGAACTGTAAGGGAACTGACCATCTGAGGGTGTTGGTATCCTCAAGAGTCCGGAAACCAGCCCCTCAAGTATACCAAGGGAGGGCCATCGTTAAGTTTGGGAGGAGTCAGAAGTTATACACAGATTCTTGACTGCTCAGGAGTTGGCTCCTCTAAGCCTTCTGGTGATTAAGATCAACTGTTGACATACCCCTGCCCTGCACTATCCCTAAAACATTTAAAATCCAAGTGATGTTTTCCGACATTTGCCTATGAAAATAAGAGAATAATAAACAAATGTAAATCAAAACCAACAATGGAAATGCAGACAATACTACCTGCTTCAAGTTCAGTAGTATTAGTTGCAATATCAAGGAAAACCTCATAAAGGAATTGACTCTAGAATCAGGTACTGGGGTTTTTTAAGAGGTTGTAAAATAGGAAGTGAGAATTTCAGGGCATTGAGCAGACCCACTGGGTGTGAAGGCACAAAACACACTTGCTGAAAGTTAAGAGCAGCCTGAGCTAGGCCTGCAGTGAGGGTTAGAGTAATTAAGAGGTAACAGGGCCCTCCCTGGTGGCGCAGCGGGTTGGAGCGACACACTGCAAAGGGAAGCCACGCCAAGCCATGGCTGCTTCAGTGCAACTTTGATCCCCACCCCAAAGGTGACCACATGGTACAGCAGACTTCTCCTGTCTCGCCCACTGCTTCCCTCAGCAGTGTACTTTATCGATCTACCTGTTCGGCTCCCCACTCTGTCTCTGGTGAATCCTCTCACCACCCCTGTGCCTCTGGCCTGTACCCCAGTTCTGTATGCATAAATAAATAAAATCTTAAAAAAAAAAAAAAGAAAGAAAGAAAAAGGAGGTAACAGCTTGCTGGACTGTGCTGAAAGGCCTTGGATGACCGATTAGAAAATTTGAAATTTATCCTCCATGGAGCTTTCACTAAAGGTTTGTAAGGAGTTCCATGACTAATGTCCTGGGAAGAAACTATGCGAGGACAGCATACGGGACTCATCTGAGGTGGGAGAGGCCTGAGGAGTGTGGCAGCTGCCAGAGATAAAGTGACATTCTAGGGAAAGAACTAGCAGGTCAAAGCCTTCCCAAAATGACTGGATGAATATTAATAGTTCTTTAACAGAAACAGGAAGCTAGAGAAAGGACTCATTTCATGAAGAAAGATAGTAGGGCACTTTTGGGACATGTTGCGATTACACAGATGATGATGAGGATCTGGCTAAAGATGCCCAGTAGGCAGTGAGAAATTGGAACAAGAGATCAGGAGAAAAATTGGGGCTGGAAGTATGAATTTGGAAGTTGCCATTAGCACTGTTTTATTTATATGTATGACTATCTGGCCAGACCTTCTAAGGTCATATTTAGTTGTATCCCTCACAAAATCTTACCGTGTGCTGTGAGCATAATGCCATCCTATTGTGAATTATGGGAAGCTGTGGTAATACTTCCTCGTCTTTGACTAACATCAAACCTTTATCTCCGTTAGCACTAATTACAGATCACTCTAGCTGGAGACACTTAGTTGCTTAACCCTTCAGGAAACTCAACTAGTGGACAAAAATCTACTTCCCATTATCTTCCTTGCCTAGAACCACTTCCCAGCCAACTCTCCTGAAAACATTCTCAGCATCAACTCTCATCTCACTCCTCCATTTACTGAAACAGCTAATTTCTTTTTCTTTTCTTTTAAGTATAAGATCATCCCTACCCCAGGTACCCATCCCCTGCTGGTCTTGGTGAACCCCAAGAGTGGAGGGAGACAAGGAGAAAGGTATGTTCTCTTCTCTCTCAAAATAGGGAGGCTAAGATAGCCTCCTTCAGGGCCTTTCTTTCCCTCAAATATAACAGAATGAACTGTGAAGTCACAGAGACTCAGGTTCAAATCCCACTCTTCCCTTGATGACTCAATTCAAGTGACTTAACATCCTGTGCTTTGGTTTCTTCCTCTGTGTAATAGTAATAATAACTAAAATAATGATACCTATTTCCTCTCACAAGGTTGTGATAGGAATGAAAATAGACATAGTATTTAGCCACAGACCTAATAGGCCAATAGTATGACTCCCACAGTCACTGGCATGAGATGCCCATATCTTTCCTACCTTTGTCTTGATTTAAGAGATAGGCTGGGGCTCACATGATCAGGACCTCCTGGCCTACCCTACCCCAGCCCGGGAGTCAGGGCCCCCACCTCAATGGTGAAGGAAATGCTGAGTCTGCTGAGCATAAAGACAGTGGGAAGAGAGAGGGATATGGGCAAAGCAGCACTGCCTCCCAGTCCTGCTCAGCTCTGGGGTCATGGACAGATGATCCAGTGATCTGGAAGCCAGATTTAAAACAAATAAACAGATTTAAACAAGAACCACGAGGAACCCCACCCCATTCCGAGGGAAAGAGCTACCCTCTTGATCTGACCTAGTGGTCTCAAGCTGGAGTCCTGAGCCCACACCTGGGAGTAGCCTCCATTTCTTCCTGCCCCAACCACTAAGGGGAATTCCTTTGTTTTGTTTGAAGGACAGCATCATACTGGAATGCAAAACATGTGGGAGAAGGGCTTATGAAGGAAAAAATAACTTTAGGACCATGGAAATTCTGTTCTCTAGGTCTTCTGGCCTTATCCTCCCTGCAAGGGTGATACTCCTTAGGGTGGGGCTGGGGCCTGGGGCGGGAGAAGGCCTCCAACTGACGTTGAGCTGGACCGGGGACTTAAGGGTATGCATTTAGTGTTCTCCTCTTGGAGTTTCAATGGCCTGCAATGGGTGGCTGCCTGCTGATGAGGTGCTTACCTGCATGACATCGCCAATCACGGTCCCCTTTCTCTACCTCTTCTTTTTTTTCCACAGGATTCTTCGGAAGTTCCACTACCTGCTCAACCCCAAACAAGTTTTCAACCTGGACAACGGGGGCCCTACTCCAGGGTATGGCAATACAACCCTCGCTTCTTATTTCCTCCCACCCTCCACTGATCATGGAAAGAGATAGCATCCTTTGCTGACTTTCTTGTCTCTTTTTTTCCTCTGGACTTGATCTTCCTGCCATTTCATTCCATATCTCTCTTCTTCCTCACATGTACTCTTGTGTGCTTCTGGAGAGACTCAGGAACAACCATGATGGGTCACTCAGGGAAATTGCCTCCTGTGCTTTATCCCGGAAAAGTTGTTGGTTTTATGAGAAAGAAAAACTGTATATGCCAGTTATTAGATTGACAGATAGGGCAAGCTGGTAATTATTTTGTTGCGAGGCTGTGTTAGCAAATGTCTCCAGACTGAATCATCGGGAAGAAAGAGTTTTCTTAGCACTGTCAGTCAGTAATTCAGAAATCTGTACATCTGATTCGAAGGTTCTCCTGTGTTCTGTGGTGGGGACATTTTACGGTCAAGATAACTGGTTATTCAGTGAAGTTCTGTTTTTTCCTGGATTGTTCAATTTAGAGATTGTTAAATACCCTACCTGGCCCTTCTCCTCACAGCATTTGCTTACTGGCTATTTGACTGCTCACTAAGTAAGGGTTAAAGAGGAAGCAATGGGAGGAGACCAGGCAGCCCCTTTGCAGCTTGACTGGAGGGCTGGAGGGAAGAGCTGGCCCATGTTACAGTAACATGACAAGCTTCACAAACCTAGAATCAGGTCCCTCCAGCAACAGGACTGGAAGGCATCTTACTAAACAGAGCCCAAGCTCTAGAGTCATCTACTGGCAACCCAAGCTGCCTCGTGCCAGATCCTCAGATCTGCGTGTATTGACAGGGCTTGTGCTGACCCACAGCGCTTTGTGTAAACTCCTGCACAACCTCCTATCCTGCATTTCTGCTCTGAGTTCAGCAAAATGGTCAGAGACAATAGAGAAAAAAATACAAAAATGGGGATCTGTCTTCAGTTGTTTGACATGGAGCTTTTACTAGTATTGTGGTAGTATAAGGGCCAAGTAAAGGGAGAATTGTGGGTGCAGATTCAGGACCGTGGCTCCATGAGTGCCAGCTATGGCTCTGCAAAGACTGTGGCTGAGCCGCAGTCTGCAAAATATACCAGCAGCCCATTCTCTTCGAGGGCTTTCTAGTATTTATATGTGCTAATGTAGCTGAGCGTTCCCCATTCTGGATTGTATTACAAGTCTGGTGGCTACTTCTGGAGCTAAAATGCCCTGAGTATTGCTGCTGTATGTGTGCACCTGTAACCAGATGGTCCATCTAGCTGAAGGAAGCCTCTGTTCAGAATTCTCTTCCTATAGGAGAGCAGAGTTCTACAAAAGAAGGGGAAAACAGAGAATGTTAATTTGCCCACACATACTTCTATGATTTAGAAAACTCCAGGAGCCCTCTCAGACCAGGCTGAACAAAGAAGAGATTGAATCACAATTTCAGCTTCCCAAGCCCCACCCAACATGTCCAGAGGCCTTATTTTCTCTCAAGTAGAGACTCCTAAGCACATTTTGTGCTAGGAGCTTACTTGGCAGTCTGCTAAAGGCTATAGACTCAAAATAATATTTATTAATGCATAAAATGAAGTACACAGGATCACAAGGGAAATTAATTACATTGAAAAAACAGCTACCAAAACATTGAAAAAAAATGTGATATGGGAATATATGCAATGTGCTAACATATTATAAAGCAAGATCCAGAGACAGGTTTAATAACTATGATAAATTAAAAACAGCGATAAGCATAATGATAGTAGGAATATCTGCCACAACTGTTAATCGAACATTAAAATTACCTGTGATTTCAATGGCAAAGTCACAGGTATCATTAATTCATCTATGACTTGTTGCCTACATTTATAGTTGAAGGAAATGTTAAATGTAAGTTATAGCTGGGAGAGGTAAAAATGTAACATTTCTTCTGCAAATTCATGGCTCTCTGGATTTGATTCCTAGAACCCTTGGAGGTTCATGGACCCCAGATTAAAAGGCTAAGACTCCTGAGAGAACATAGCGTTCCTCCCACTTAGGTCTGGATTCATGGGAAGCAGTAGAAAGGCCCAGCAAATTCCAATGTATCTTCTTTGAAGGCAAAGTATGAGGACAAAGTAGGCTTGGGGCTGGGTGGGGAGTGGGTAGGGAGGGAGAAAGGAATGGGGACAAGTCAGAACTTCAGAGGATTCATTCTACTGGTGGCCCTTACAAGAAAACTATGGATTCCTTTGCACAGTAGGAGAGAATCTGGAAGACCATTTTGTTTGTGTTGAATGCTGACCAGTTCTTATGCAAGTTCACTCCCTGGGATTGTTCTCTATCCTGAGTGGTAGTGCTCATTAAGTTCTGTTTTCAGAATGTTAATTGACCCTTTCAGCACTAATACAGGAATCAGGATCATAGTATTTTCCCAAGGAACAAGGGAGACTGACGCAAGGAGGTCCCACTGTCAGCTGCAACCAAGCATAGGTACCTATTTTCTCCTTCCCAGGTTGAACTTCTTCCGTGATACTCCAGACTTCCGTGTTTTGGCCTGTGGAGGAGATGGAACAGTTGGCTGGATTTTGGATTGCATTGGTAAGAATGAGTTGAAAGGGCCTTAATAGTTTATTACAGGGAGCATATGTAAAATCAGAAAAAGGCAATAAAAAGGAGAAATAGGGTCATGTCTTATTCATCCCCTATATATTCTTGGACTAATGTTTGGTTAAATCTCTGGGATGGAAAAAAAGAAAGACAATGGAAGGATTTGTACAGACACAGATATAACTGGTTAATTTCAGGCCTTGCCACAAAACCATCTATCACAGCCAGGATTTGGGCAGTGACAGGCCAGGACAGATATGGGGATGGGGGTGGTGGCAGTGGTGAGGAACCAGGACTGGGATATGGGCAGATCCAGGGTGGATGAAACTAAGCATAGAATCATAGCTAAGGCAAACTGCCTTAAGGTGAGCTGCTGGAGCCTGAATCTAGAAAGCGCATCTAGAAAATGCAGGTCCATGCCAGCAATGAAAGACTAGGCTTTCTAATCTGTCTAGAGACAGGGACAATGGGGAAGACCTGGGCTGGAAATCAGGAGGCCTGGAGTCTAGTCCACTACACTTTAGTTCTGCGGATCCTTGACATATCACCCCCAATGAGTGATGGATACAGAATCTGAAATTCTGAGATGGGATATTTTCAAGATCTCATCCTAGAGAAACTACATAAACACTAGCATGTGGAACCTAAGGACAGGAGAACCAAGAGAATTGCCAGGGAGAGTAGTCCTCCAAATCCAAGAGTAGACCCAGCGCAAAGAGCCCCGGCTGTTTATGTCTTCCCTTTGTTCATTTCACAAATTCTGCCTTTGCGCCAGCCTCTCCTCAGGCCCTGAAGATGCAGCAGCGAAAAAAGAGACAAAAATCCTGCTCTATGGGGTTCTCTTCCAAAGGGAAGAGGCAGGCAATAAACAAGTAAAACGTAGAGTGTGTCAGAGGCAATGAGACTGTAACAGGGAGAGGGGGCTCCTACCTGAGGAGGGGGTGCAATCTAAAGCTGAGTGGTCAAAGAAGCCTTCATGGCCTCTGCATGCAGGCCTGGAGGAGTGTGAATCGTGCAGGTACCTAAGGGTGTAGCAGTTCAGGGAGAAAGAATGGCAGATACAAGGTCTTGAGGCTGCTGAAGGCAGCAGGAAAGCTGCAGAACATCCCAGAGCAGAGCATGCAAGGGAGAAGGCGGAGGATGCAGCTGAGACACGGCAGGGCTGTGTCACTAGGACATGCAGGATCCGGCGCAGGAAGTGACTTTCATACTCGGAAAGCCGAGACACTGCATGGTTATGAGCACAGAAAGGACACACCAGATTATGAGCAAAGGACAGGCACAGGGAGACCAGCAGGAAGCTTCTGCGTTGGTAATCCAGGCAAGAGGTGACCAAGGCGCGGGCCACAGAAGAAACAGAGGCGCTGGTAAGAAGTGGTTAGATCCTGGACACCATTTGAAGATGGAGCTAACAGGGTTTGCAGACAGACTGGGTGTGGGACATGGGAAGAAGAGGCAAGGAGAGGCCAGAGAGGCCAGAAAGACCCTCAACCAGCAGGAGGCTTGTCTTCTAGCGGTCACCCGTGCAACACTCGGCTGGGGGGCAGACACCCGCACACCTGCTGCCTTCTGCTCCCCCACAGACACTTCGGTTTCCATAGACACAGCCCTGCCAAGCAACCACCCACGCTCTCCTGTCACCTCGGGCTCTGGAGTTGTTTGTGGGAGGAGGGAGGCGTCCTCTGGGAGCCTATAAGGTAAAGCTGATTCGCAGAATAGATGGCTGCGGCGCCCCAGCTAGTGCTTGCATGACTCCCTCTCCATCATAAAGACAAAAGCAGGCTTCGGGGTTGAAAAGTTTTCTAAAATCATCTGTAGATGACACGGGGGTAGAAGATGCCCGAAGTCTAAAGAAAGAGGGTCATTTAAGATGGTGCTTTCCCGGGTTAGTGGCCCCAAATGAAAAAAACAGTGGGGACAGGAGAGGGATGGGGCATGAAATCAAGCTGGGCAGTTATGAGGCCACCGAGGGACCTAGAGATGATCTGAAGGGCTTCTGGGGGGACAACTGCATAATGTTCAAGTCATTCATTCAAGAAATAGCAAAGCTCTTGTTCAGGTCCTCACTACCCCATTTTGGCCACCTCGCTGGTTTGTTCTCACCCCATATAGCCAGAGTGGTCTTTCCTGAATGTCAGTGGCTCATGACTTGTGTACAGTACATGAGTGCCTTCCCCGTATTAAGAGAAAGGCAAAGTCGCTGCAACTGGCCTACAGATGGAAGAGCTGACTTTAGGAAGAAGCAGCTCCTCATCACGGGAGACATTCAAACCCCTGTTATGGGGGGACTCAGACGTCACATCAGGGGTAACTAGATAGCTTGATCATTCCTTAATCCCTTGGCATAATGTTCTTTCTTCCTCTGCATGGTTTGCAGATAAAGCCAACTTCACAAAGCACCCACCGGTGGCTGTCCTGCCTCTCGGAACAGGAAATGACCTGGCCCGCTGTCTCCGCTGGGGAGGAGGTGAGTCTGCTTTCGAGGGCACTGTCCTGGGACAAGCATTCCAGTTGACAGGGATGTTCTGCAGAGCTCAGCTGAACTTCCCTCTCAGCGATCACAGAGTCACCTCTACTCCATAGCTGTGGTCCATGCTAACCCCTCACTGTCTTTACTGTCATCCAGAAACTATCAGCAGAGCCTGCCTTCCCCAGTGGAACACACGCAACATAGAGTCCATATGTCTTCCCCAGTGCTCATCCCCAAAGGGACCCAATTAGGTGTTCTCTGCATGAAATTCCTCCTCTCCAAATTACTACTCTGCTTGTAAATGAAAACTACTAGAATGCAGGCCAGAAAGTCACATCGCCAGCCACTGGAGGGGCATCCAGATCACCCGGTTGCCATAGTCAGGGGACCTGGCTGAAATTCATCTATGGGGGTACGTGGCGAGGTAACAACCTTACAGGGTAAAGGGAGGAATGAAGAATTTTGCAGGTTTCAATGGCCCCCATGGTGCTAGGCATAGTCCAGAGAGGGGAGACATTCCGTCAGCACATGGGATATAGGCGTGGAATGGATGCAGAATTGGGATTGGACTTAAATGGCTGGTCAATTCAGCGAGCCATTCAAGACCAGGCTGGGCGGGGTCCATGTTTTAGATTGGCGTGCGCTTGGAGGGCAGAGACAGAAGCAGGAGCCAGCCCTCAAAAGCATACACATAGTCCTCAGCCACACACTGGAGAGCTCCCAGCATCCTCAGCCACTGAGTCCAGGGAAGGATCCTCTGTTCAAGAGGGGCAGGCAGAGTGGCTCCACCCTTTGGGCATGTAGACAGCAGAGTAAGGCACAGCATTCATACGGAAGGCCCAGCCCTGCACACCCAGGTAGCTGCAAAGCCCTTGTTACGTGACGCCATCAATGCTGTCTGATGAGATACCCCAAAGCTGCTAAACAAAGCCCACCAATTTGAAAATATTCTCAAGTGTGCTCCCAAGGCAAGCAGGAACATGGGAGCAGTGTTTGTCTCTCTCACTAACCCCTCATCATTTATGATTCACTTTCCATATCTTCTATTAACACACAACCATTTATCATATAGGTGGACACTTAGAACTTCCATTACTAGGTCACAGTCCCATAGGCATGAAGCCCAGGGATATACATGCTTGGTGCCTCCCAAGCGGGACCAGTGTTGGAGGCTGTGTCACTTCCTGATGGCTCTGAAGGAAGAGTCTGCTTCTGAACTCCTTCAGGCCACTGACTAAGTTCTTAGTGGCTGTAGGACTGAGGTCCCTGTTTCCTTGCAGATTGTCAGTAGGGACCCCTCCCAGGTGCTTGAGGCCTCCTACACCCCTTACCAGACAGATCCCTACATCCTCAAAGCTAGCAATAGAGAAGCTCCCTGATGTCAGATCCCTCTCAAGCTTTGAATCTATTTCTCAAAGAAAAATCCAGGCATGAGGGCTCACCTGGTTAGGTCATATCCACCAAGATAATCTCCCTTTCTTAAACTGTGGCAGTGACTATGCTATCTTATTCACAGGTCCCCAGAGGGCTGGGGTTGGGGGTCACAACATATATATAATGAGGTGTGGGGAGGGTAGGAATCATGGGGACCTTCTGACTGCAAGTTCCTTGGTCTATTGATCTCTGCAGTTACATGGTTCTGGAACTGATCCTTTGTTCTACCCAATACAGCTTCCCAACCATCCAGCTCACCCATTCCCCAGGACTTGCTTCAGCAGCACAGGCCTGCCCATCTTTAGCCAGTGCCCAGCCCCACTCTCTGCTACTCTAGCTTCCAAATTCTCCAGTTTCTTGTTCTCTCCATGACTCAGGGCACCTAGTGTCTCTGCCACACTGACACACAAAGGAGTGTCCTGACCACTCCTAGGGTCCCCGGGCCTGACAGCTGCCTGAGTGTGCATGAGCAAAGACCTCTCACCATTCTGCTCTGAGGGCATATGTGATGTTGCTTCACAGGTTACGAAGGGGGCAGCCTGACTAAAATCCTGAAGGAGATCGAGCAGAGCCCCTTGATGATGCTGGACCGCTGGCATCTAGAAGTCCTCCCCAGAGAGGAAGTGGAGAACGGGGACCAGGTCCCATACAGCATCATGAACAACTATTTCTCCATTGGCGTGGTGAGTTGGCCAGGGATCTTGTTTCTGCAGGGAGTGGAAGTCCCCGGTGGCAAGAGAGATTCTAGCCTTCCATTGTTCCCCTGCTCTTCTTGACCCAGCCGTCCCCAACCTTGACTTGGATCCAAGAAGCATGCTTTCTTCTGGCCTAGGCATAGACACCCTGATGGTGTCACTCCCCATCTTTGACTATAGACGAAATTGCTTCCCTTATAATTTTAACTATGCAAAAAGGAACAGGAAATTTATTGAGTTAGTTATACTTTGGTATTTGGCCTGGTTAGAAAAAGGCAACACCAAGAAATGATCAAGGAACAAGGCCAGTAGGAGATTCTCATGTGAGCTTCTGAGGTGGAATTTGATTCTTCAAGGAGAATTGTAGATACTAACACTGGCTTAGCTCTCAGAATTCCTTCTCTCCTGATTGCTCTCCTCCTTTCAGCCCCATCCTCCACATTCCAGTTACTCACAAACCTCTGGGCCACCTCTTCTTGTCTGATTCCTGTGCTGAGCTGCACGCTCCCCTCTGTGGGTGACCCCAGCGCCCCCAGGGCTCCTCCCATCAATGCACTCTGCATTGGACTGAGGGAGTTGGTTTAATGTACCCACCTCTCTCTCCTCCATGCATGTGCACACACACACACCTACAAGTGGACACACACAGTGCAAGGACGGTGCCATGTTCCTCTCGTGGCCTCAACCCCGGCACATCTACTGCTGCTCAGCAAGTTTCCCTGAACTCAACTTCTAATCCAAAGAAGATGGGGTGGGCAGTGTTGAGACAGAGTGAGGGAGAACCAGAGCAATCATTTCGTTAATAGTGTTGGGGCTAGGAAGTGGGAGTCACAAGCACAGTAGCCTGGACTGAACACCCTGTGTGCCCTCCCCTGTGTTCTCTGGTCCTCTGGGAATCTTGTCCCTCCCATCCCTGTATTTCAGCGGAGACCCAAGGAGAGCTAACTAGTAATGGATAGAACAACCTGTGCCTTATGGCAAAGCCGGGTTCCCTCCTCTCTGTTTTTCACCTTAGGATGGTGCTTGTGCAGTTTGGAATTGCCTTTGGAATAACGCCCAACTTCTTAAGCACATGAAGTCCCTCCAGGCCAACCCCCAGCCCCAGACTGCATGCTATGTATACTCCTTAACCCCCATCACCTGTGCCTCTTTTCAAATTTTTTATTTTTTTAAAGAAAATAAAGGGGGAACTGATAGATTAAAGAAAGCAGATTTAAGGAAAAGGTTTTGTTTTTTAATAAGAACACTAAAAGGAGAAGCATGGAAGAGGAAAGGATTAAATGGAGTAATACCATATGTTTACAGGATTTAGAATTTACCCTATCTGCAGATATGATTCTTATGCCCATACCGAAAGGCAGTATTATCTCCATTTTATCGGTGAGGAAACAGGAGTGAGATTAAAGGATTTGCCTTCACTTTCTGCCTTCTAATCCAACCCTTTCCCTATTACTAACAACCCTGGACTCTTGATCAGGCCTGGGAGGATGATGGAGTCAGCCTGGGAGCAAACACAGGGCTCTCTGCACCCAATCTGGTTCATCCAGGGCTCCCAGGCTCAGTTAGGGTAGACATCTCCCCTAGCTGCTTCCAGCTTCCTCTCCAGTGACCTCGGCAGTCCCCTTCCTCCTCTTCAAGGCTCAAAAACCTCTCTGCCTTTACACCACCTGCTCACGCTCTAATTCTCCTCGCAGGAACATGCGGATTACAAATCAGACTTGACTGGATGGTTCGCATTCGGGGAGTCTGGAAGTAGGGACTTCCCTGCATTACAGGTTGACAAAACACCCATCTTTTTCCTGGAGTAATGAGAGCAGAACTTTCTGACATTTATTGAGTCCTGCTGCATACAGGGCAGTTGCCCTGCTGGCAGGCACAGTCCTCAGACCTTTGCACTTGAAACGGAGGAGCTGTAGCTTAGGAAGTGACCAAGACAAGTCCAAGCTGATGAGTAGTGGAGTAGGGAATCACAAATGTGACACTCCACAGCCGCTGAGCTGTGGGCCACTGAGTCACGTAGCCTCTGCACAGCCCCTCCGTCTTCATGTCGCCGAGCTCTCAGAATTTGAGTGTGTGATGGCTCCCAGATGCCCTTTGTCAAAAATGCAGGTTCCAGCCCATGTCAGATGCTGATTGGTGTTCTGATTCAGCTGGCCTAAGCAAGATATGGGAATTTGCATTTTCACCAAGTCCCTAAGATAATTCTGATGTACATGGTACCAACCTAGTCTTCTGTGAGTGCAAACAACTCATTAGTGCAGAGAATGGTCCAAGGAAATGGTTCTTCACAGCAGCAGAAACAAGACTAGAGAGGAAAGGCAGCGTCTCAGAGTAAAAACACCCTTTATCTGGATAATTGAGCCCTAATCCCAAAAGCCAAGAATGATCATGCTTTTAAATCTTTTACACAAATAAGGAAGGAGGGAGAGAAGGAGAGAGAGAGGGGAAAGGAGGCCCAGGTTAATTGTCCCCCGAGGAAATGCAAACATTCTCCATCACCCTCAGTGGTCAAGGGATTTATTTAACTGGGCTGACTTAAAATAATTCAATCTGTTCGACTTTCAAATAACAATAATAAAACTTCACCATATCTCCCTCATGATTTTTTTCATATACCTTTAGCTTGTGCATGTTTAATATTTTATTGCAATGCAGCAAGCAGCCAGGATTGTTTTCATCTCTTTGGTGTATCCTAGTCGTCTCTCAATAAAATGTTTGCAGGGCTCGTGTGCTCGCTCTTTAAAAGTTGGAAAGGGAAATTCTTGAGAAAACAAGGCACCAACACGCAACCCTAGCAGAATCTGGGTCTGACATTTGCAGAAGCTCTTGCTTCCTATTTGACTTCCCAAACTTTGTAAGAGGAGAAGTAGGTATGTAAACCAACCCACAGTTTTACTTCCTTGTGATGATTACAGTCAGCTTCTTTGGCAAAGAGAGCCCAGCAAAGTCTTTGCTTCTTTTGAAGGACTTAGAGTATCTTATTAATATCAAATGTCTGTTGCCTCTTATTTATAAAGATGATGACAATGATCGTTGTGGTCTCCCTAGGTGGTAAAGAATTTGTCCTGATGAGTTCACCCAGTCCACTTGATGCCAACATTTAACGGATGAAGGAATAAACAGGGTAGCTTCTCTAGGCCTATCCCGGAAATGAGTCACCCCATTGTCACCCCATTCCCATCACCCGTGCCAGCGCCTCATCAGTGAAGAAGGTGGCGAAAGGGCCTGTTTAGTCCCCCTAACTGATAACATCCTTTGGCAGGAGATTTTAAACATAGCCATCCAGGATGCTACTTCCTCTCACTTCTCTGGCCTCCTCTTGCTTTTTATTTTTGGATTCGCAAAAATATGTCAGGATGGCCAGGTATCGGTGACAGGAAGTTTGGGACGCTAAGTAATTCCTGGGGTATGTGTAACTCTGAGCGCCTCAGAGGCTCTCCTTTCACCAAGCTTTAATAGATCGAGTGAGCAGCTAATCCCTTGATTCAATGAAATCTATTTCTGAGACCAGGGAAACCCAGAGGCCAAGGAGAGGCCACAACCATCACACAGACCCACACACCATTTTCCACCTTACAGACAATGGCACTTAGCAGACATCACCAGACAAGTTTCTTCAACAATAAGCCTCCTTCCCAAGAGGGAGTTTATCAACAAGGCATCGTTTCCCCTGCAAACTGTTAGATTCCATCCATCTCAGGCTCTTGTGTGTCATCTTGTGAGAGCAATTTCGGTACCAACACCGCGGGACTCCCTGAGAGGACCTGCTCTCATTTTCATTTTCCAATCTGCCATCATTTTTCAAAACAATCCAATTTTGAAATAATCTGTCTTATGTCTCCTTTCTGTCTTTTTATCTTCACAAGTGGTCAGAGTGACTTAGAACTAGTGTGTGATGGGTAGCCACTGGAAACACGTGGTCATAGTGTAGTTGAATAAGGCTAAATTGAGAGATAGTGGAACTGTAAAATACACACCAAACTTCAAAAATGTGGTATTAAAAAGAAGAACATAACGATCTCAGTCATTCTATAGTAATCACTTGTAATGAAATTCATTAAAATACATTATTCAAATATTCCTCTTTTCAGTAAAATTGAAATAAATTTAAAAATTATTTCTAAATATGGCTATCAGAATAATTTTCATTTATTTCTATGGGACAGCACAGACCTACACATCCCAATATCGCAGAATCTAAATGACTTCTGTTAATATTTGAAAGAGGCACAGACACTTATTGTCTGATCATGACTTTGAAGTTGTAGTTCCATTAAAAGTAGCATGTGCCGGGCCCTCCCTGGTGGCGCAGCGGGGTAAAGCACAGCACTAAGAAGCTAAAGCCACTTCCTCATGAGTTTGATCCCACCTGCCCCGGAAGTGACCACATGGCTCAGCAGACCTCTCCTGACCCGCCTGCTGCTCCCCTCAGCAGTGTACTTCATCAGTCGGCCTGTTCTACTCCCCGCTCTGTCTCTGGTGAATCCTCTCACCATCCCTGTATCTCTGGCCCCTATACCCCAGTTCTGTATGCACAAATAAATAAATCTTTAAAAAAAAAATTTTTTTTTTAAAGTAGCATGTGCCTATACCATTCATCATCTCTTTACCCTGCAACTCAAAGGAATCCCAAGAGTGAGACTGTCAGAAATGCCCTTATCATGCCATGGGTTTGCAATTCCCATCTTGCTGTAATTGTTACCAAGGAAATGGTTGAATTCTTGGAGCATTGGTTTGCAACATTTAAATGAGATTATTACTGAATGTAAACACACCCTGTCCTGTGACAACACAGAGAAGCTCTACAGAGACTGAAGCTGAATCTTGAGTCTCTTTGTAGCCCCAGGGGAGAGAAATGTGGTTGCGTTTTTATCAGTATTGCCTTTTAAAGACTGAACAGTGAAGGAGGTACTCCTCTCTCCCTGCCTTCTGTATTAAACTGGGGGTGACATTGTCCAGTTAGAAACCACACATTTAGCTAACATGATTGCAAAACCAGTTATGCAGAGAGAGAAGATAATTGAACTGCAGCGATTGGAGACCTGTGTGCACATATCCCAAAGAATAAAAGACCAGAAGCCCATCACAGTGGGGGTAGGGGTGGTGAAGTTCAACATGTGATTGCTTTTTTCTTTTCTGACAGAAGAAAATTAGTGCTTCAAAGGAACACAAGTAGATGGAATGTTTTCTTGAATTCTAGAGAAGCATTTGACAGATGTCACATGAATCTTACTCAGCGTGTTCACTGAAACTTGCTGAGGGCGCGGAAGGAGGAAGCAGTCCAGGGGCACCAGACCGCGCCGCCCAGAGACGCTGTGTGTGTGTGCTGCAGGGTCCAGAGGAGACATCTCTGGAGCTTTGCAAGTCTCCCCCCAGGGTCCACAGGGGTGCCTAGCCAAGGCCTCCAACTCTCCACATGTCCTAAAATGAAAACCAAACAGTAAACCAGTAACTAGAATTTCAGTGTTAAACTCCCAAAATGTTATTTTAGCGAGGAATGTTTGCCAACCCAAATAAAGCCCATATTCTTGACTTGCTGTCTCCACTTTTCAATAGTGTGCTATTAGCAGGGTTTATTCCTCTGACAAACAGGGATATTACAAAAGTTCCCCTTTGCCCCCTAACTTGCTTCTAGATTTTCTACGCCCACTAGTGGCTTGTATTTTATTCACCCTACACAGCACATGATCAAAAAAATAGCTTCGCTGAACTAGACTTTCTGATGTAAAAAAAACCAACATTCAGAAATTTTCTTTTGTACAGTTTCCATATTGAGAAAATAATTAATATGCATTTGCTGAAAATTCACTCTATGGATTTTCCATCTTCTTTTAGCACATATTCCATTACATGAATTTCTCCATTTTTTTCCCCTGCACAAAACTGAATTAACTGCCTCAATTCTGTGCCTCCCCCAACCCCAGCCTTTCAGCTCCATTTGCCTGTTTATTTCTAACGCTCACCACCTGCGCTAAAGTACTGGCACGGGGCCTGACAGGGAAAGGGATGATGCTTCAGTCTTCTGCTGGGAAATTAGACCAATAGCAAGTGTGGAAGACAAAGTGTGAGGAGGAGAGATGACCTCAGGGTTGGTTCTAGTGCATTTGGATGCTAGGGACAACTAGGAGAATAGCAAAAGGCCAGCTAAGGGTCAGCTCAGAAGGGACACAGGAAGTAGTGGTCAGGGATGGAGATCCCTGAAGCCTGGTGGCCTGGGAGCCGCTGCTGCCTGTGAGTTCTGAGGAGCAGGTGACCCCTAGGGCTAGGGTCAGATGTAGGTAGGCTGTGCCAGTTGGAGTGGAGCCAGGAACCCCTAGAATGTGGTGATGAGATTATGTTCACTGAACTTGGTGACAGTCATTTCTGTGGTAGGATCAAGAAACAAAAGCCGGAAGTTTACATTTTTTATTTTATTATCTACTAAGCATGTTATTCACAGCTACCAATGTTTTCTACTGATCTGGGTGATGAACAGTTACTATGGAGCAGCCTCTGTCAACCTCAGTTTTCTGTGTTGATGGTGTACTATAGTTATGTAAGATGTTATCGCTGGGGAAGCTGGGTGAAAGGGACGCAGGAACGCTCTGTACTATTTTTGCAACTTTTGGTGAGCCTTAAAATATTCCAAAATAAAAAGTATTTTTAAAAAAACAGAAGGAGTTAATATGGTGAGTTATCTCCAAAGATTCATACCCAGTCCCATTCCAGGTCCTCTGCAGACAGCTCCTCCCAGGCCCAGACATCCTTCTTCACAAAGGGCAGGAGGGGCCCCTTTCACCCCCAACCACTGAAGTGTGTGGGGGTGAGGGGGCTTGGGGAGAATGACTGAAATCTGCAGTCAACTGCACAGTTCTACAGTGTTGGGGGCACTAGCTCCCAACCTTGAACATCATGCCTCTTTTCTGTGCCACTTGCTCTCAGGGTTAGGGGATCCAGTAGGAGACTATGCTTTCCTTCCACATCGCATATCCGCTCCCACTAACCCTGCTTTCCTCCCTTTGCTTTTCAGGATGCTTCCATTGCACACAGATTCCACGTGATGAGAGAGAAACACCCTGAAAAATTCAACAGCAGGTAAGAGGGCTTAAGGTTCAGATGATGTGGCCACCACCCCTCAGTGTAGCTGTGCCTCACCCGAATGGCCTGGGCCTCCTGCACCCCCCACCCAAGTTTTCTGGGCCTCCCCCAAGGATTTCTCTGTCCTGTCACATTGTCCAGAGGAAGGTTTCCACTTCCAAGAAGTAAACAATGTCAGAAACCTGCCTTATCCTGGTCCCCGATCCCATCCCAGAGGATGCTGACAGGAGAAGGAGTGGAGGTGGGGGAGCGAGACCGGCAGAAGTGGTGCACGCCTTGGGATGGGGTCTGCTCCTCCTGGTTGCTGGAAGCACCTCCCGGGCTTCTGCTTTCTCAAAACATACAGGGCCTCCAGCCTCAGCTCTTCACGAGTCCTGTGGGGAGAAGCAGGCTGGATGCCGGGGCTGGGATTTTGTCAGTCTGGAAGGGATGGGAGGCAGCAGCCTCAAAGGACCATAGCCAAGACAAATGAGTGTTAAGTGGACTCTGCCTTCCCCACCAGCAGAGGGCAGCAGAGAGAGCCCCCCCCCCCGCTGAGAGTGGCCAGGACCCAACCACTCCCATACCGATGTTAGGTCCAAAAATGACTGGAGAGAGAAGCCCAGATAGTTTGCAAACAAAGCCAAACCCTTCTTAATTGTCAACAGGGAATTTTTGAGAAGTGAGTTGATTGGCAAGAGCTATCCCCTGGAATTTTAAATTACATTCCTCCCCTTTTCTGTTGGTGGCCAATTTCCAGCCTTTCTCTCTCCCCTTTGTTGAACCATCCCAAGATGAACTGGATCACCTGCCCTAAGGAAGATGGGGTGGAGGGACTTAGACAGGGTCTGTGGGGCTTAACTTCATGTGGACCACAAGATTCTCTCCAAAGCAGAGCCCAGGCCATATTTTCTGCCATTGATTTAAAGTCTGCACCCAGAAACAGAAAAACCCTGCTCTTTTCATGTGTAGCCCTTCCCTTGACAGCAGCCTGGGGGTTAACAGAAAAAACAAACAAACAAAAGAAAAACTATTTAGGTATCAGAGATAGAACAAAACAAGAGTACTGCAGCTTCAGGAAGAGTGACCTAGGGTATCTAATGGTCAAACTACCCTTACTAGTGCGTGCATTGTGTCATGGCCACATCCTCCCGTGGCCCGCACACAGGCCCCGCACGCTCATGAAATATTACTAACAGGCCTACTCTCAGCCTTCTGCCGACTAGAGTCAGAAACTTACAACTCAATCATTTCGCGTCTCACAATCTATTTCTCTCATATAGACACAAAATCACTTTTAAAAAATACTCCACTTCTGCACTTCTGTCCTCTTTGCACAATTACCCTTACGCCTACTCATGGACACAATCTTATTTTTTTTAATTTATTTATTTATTCATACAGAACTGGGGTACAGGCCAGAGGTGCAGGGGCAGTGAGAGGATTCACCAGAGACAGAGTGGGGCGCAGAACAGGCAGATTGACAAAGTACACTGCTGAGGGGAGCAGCGGGCAGGTCAGGCGAGGTCTGCTGCTCCATGTGGGTCAGTTCCGGGGTGGGGATCAAACTCATGCCAAAGTGACTTTAGCTTTTTAGTGCTGTGCTTTAACCTGCTGTGCCACCAGGGAGGGCCTGGACACAATCTTATTAAGATGTCATATGCTTGTGAAATTCATAAGGGTCCCCTCGTTCTTCACTCCCTCCCCCTCTCTCTTCCTTTCTCTCATTCGCTGATCATATGCTTTGGCAATGTACAATATACCAGGCGCTGTTCTAAAGGTGTTTGGACAGACATTGGTAAGGGAGTCACTGTGCAGAAATAGTGACTTGTTTAGTGACTTGGCATGGCGGGCTCAGACAGTGGCCTGACTCAAGACACAGGAAACAAGTGCGTATCTGCCAGGTCAAGAGAGGGTAACCAGGGCGAAGAATCAAATGTACAAAAAGATCCAAAGGATTGAGAGTGCAGCATGCTGGGCAAAGAGAAGGCTATGTAGTGCATGCATTGTGTGGTCTCCTGGCGAGAAAAGAAACAAGACCTGTGGTCGCTTATAGAGAGCAACCAAGCAGAGAGAGCAAGAAATGTCCCCTTATTCCAAAGTTAGTAGAAGGTCAACATCTGAGGTGAATAGAGCGATCACCTCCTCCTAGGGTTAGGTACAATTAGATACTTCTGTTGTTAAATGTGCATTCCAATACAAAGCTTTCACAAATTCACTGCAATCTGAATGACTTTTTCCTTCTCTCTTCCATTCTGATTAACAAAATTACTCCTTGGGGTTAGGGTACCCCTTACCCTTCAGATCAAGGTAAGGTGAGGTTGAGGTCAAGGTAAGGTGGTCCCTGGGGTGACAGACACAAGAATTGACTTGTAAGTCCACGCTCAGTGCTTTTAAGTGAATACATAGTGGGGGCCGGGTGGCCCTGTTTCACAAGGCCCAGAGTGCTTCCTCTTAAACCTGAATCCACACTGCCTCTACCCTGCCTGCGGGCTCCTGTTGAAAACACCCAGGAGTGCCTCATTTGTCCACTGAGAGGCAGCCGAGCAGCCAATTTCTCCAGCCTTCCTTATTTAGCATTGAAGATGGTTTTAAATAGGCAGGTGGTTGTAACCATGGTTACCCCATTACACCAGAGGCTAAACTTAGGAAGGGCCACAAGGGATAGGAAGAAAGCTTGATACCCAGGATTTGGAAATGTAAATGATATTATCAAACAAGGCTTCATTTGACTGGGCTGAACTTAGGTTTTCCAAAGCGTAGTCACTGCCTGACTGGAAACCCCTTCCTTTAATGCCCAGGACAGCGCCCCCAGAGATAACTCTGAGATTAAAATCTCAGGAACTGTAACTGTTTTGTTTTATTTTAAACAAGGTAGTGTGACTAGTCAGCGCTAGAATGTATCAGGAAACTTGATTCAGTGCTCATTCTGCTTTCTGGACCATTCTAACAAGGTTAACTTTCTTAACTTAAAGTACAAGTACCCCCAGATGGTACCTTGAAGTTGTAGGTAAGGTACTGAATATATGTTTCTAGAAAGTAAGTTCATAATGACCAGAAGATTCATAAAGAGCCCCAAAGTTTCCTGGTTAAAAGTTACAGTACTGAGGCTTCTGGACCCTAAAGGACATCAAATGATGATTCAACTTTGGGATTTCAAGGAATTTTTCTGCAATGGACTCCCTACACAGTTCATTGCTAGAGAGTGGCTGTTACAGGAAATTTACAAAGTTACATAGTTTTGAATGGAGAAAGAGCCAGGTCCAAGATGTAAGAAGATGAGCCAAGCATGATGGGCAAGGGGGAAAAAATGGCCATTCAGGGGGGAAAAGGCCATTCAGGGTAGAGATGGGGCTATGTTCAGCCCCACTTCTATATTGATGGACTAATTATTAATTGCTAATTTAGGCATTGTGAAAATTGCCTTCTCGTTGTTAGCATAAATAACAGGAGAGATTTCATTCAACTGAATGTGTTAGAATGTATTTTAGATATAAAGGTAAATAAGACATGGTCCCTGCCTTCAAAGAATTCATAGGCTAGGAAAAGTAATCTTCAAATATTTTTTAGACTGACTTTCACATAAAAAGAGATTACACTTAATAGGTCATATAGCACACAGGAGGTAATATGGTGTGCGGCACTTATTAATGGTTGTATCCCTACATCACTTGTAAATTAATTATTTAGCATGGTGTCATAAAGGTAATATAATGGAGCCAAATGGTGTTACAAGGGAATGATACCAAGAACTGTTATTTTTTGAGTTCCTACTAAATGCCAGGTGAGAATCTAGGTTCTTGAAATAGGTTGAATTATTTAAATCCCAAAATAACTCCATACAGTAAATGTTAGCGTTCCCATTTTACAGTTAAAGGAACTGAGCCTGACAGAAGCTGAGTCATCTAACCAAGCAAGGTCTTACATCTTTGTAAGCAAAGGATCTGAGATGATTCTTTTATAGCTCCCAATTCTGTTAGCTGCACCTGCTGTCTCCCACAGATTTCTTTAGCAAACACCTATTGCATATCAAACACTCTTTATACATGATCTCACTCCATTGTAAGTGCTGCTGTCCCCATTTCAGAAATAGAGAGACTGAGGCAAAGAGAGCAAAGCTATTATGGGCTTGATCCACCACTATGAATTTCTCTGTGGGAAAATGCCTGCTGAGTACCAAAGGGGACTCGAGGTATGCTACCCACTTTCACCTTGTGTGCTAAGGCTTGCTTCTTATCTCAGTGTCTACAAAAGGATGAAGTTGACTTCATGATTTGCATGGCAAGGAGCAAAATTAAAATGCAAGGCCTCTAGTTCAAAAATCACTCATAATTTCAAATCAGTGACAGCAGAACCATAAACCAAGCATAGAGCCGAGAGGTAGGGAGACCCATACAACTATTCAGATCTCACACTAATGAGCTGGCCCTAACAAAGAGAATACATAAAAACAGAGAGGCCATTTGCCCTTGAAGAGTTTACAACACAGGCCAAAAGAATGGAGGAGAGAGGGTTTCAGAAAAGGGTAGAAGGAGAGGGATTTTCAGTTCTTCAGATAGGCAGCAGTCAGTACTAGCGGATTACATCATGGAGGTGCCAGCAAAATGTTCCAGATATCCAGTGTTCCATGAAGCTCCTGGATTAAGTCTCCGTGAACGGTTTTGTATTTAAGGACTATATACATAAAGCTACCTAATTCCAATGTCACTGTCAGTAAGTGTCCAGGGAGAGAAGTCTAAGTATGGAACTTTTTGTTGTTGTCAGAAGCTCAGAGCCCTGAAGGAATGTGTTATTCCAAACCTGTTGAGTGCCATCCACTTGAATATGTCCCTCAGCAGTTTAGGCTGAAGCAAGATATTTCCTGTTAGGTCCTTCAAAGGGACCGAAACAGTGCTTCATTCCTACCAGAGCTGACCACCTTTCCCAAAAACCCTTGTAATTAACAGGCCCTGGAGTGTTAGCTTTCCTGGAGCCAGGCCACTGAGTAGCTAATGAGGGGTTCCCCAAAATCCCTAATG